CCCTCTTGTCCTAGGGACTATCAAGAGCTAAGGTCTGTTGTTTGGTTTCCTTTTTCAGATCAGTTAATATCCCAAGGAGAATACTAGATATAGATATCTTCACATCCCTTAGATATCTCTAAAACCATCCTTCTCTTTTCATTTCCATCCTACCATCTTTGTCCAATGTACAATTACCTCTTATGGACTACCGTGATAGCTTTCTAAGAGGTTTGCTTGCATTCAACCCCGACCTGCCACAATCTGTTCTCATGCTGAAACAGAATTTGAGAAGCTCACTCTGGTCCAGACACTGATATTTGTTCTTCTGGGCCCTCTCACTGCCAGCCTGTTTTACAGGTTCTGTTCTCTAACTAAAGAGAATATTCACTTTCGTTATTTCTTTCTAGCTGGTCCTACTCATCTTTAGATTTCACCTCTACCTTTCTCACTTTGGAAAATCCTCGACCATACCCCAAACCTGTGAAAACTCCTCCATTGTAAGGTATCATAATATCATCTTTCTTACAAAGCAATCATTCCTGCTGCAATGTTATTTGAACAATAATGTGAACTTGCTCATTAAAATGTAACCTGCCTGAGGGCAGATACCTACCTCTATTTCAGGTCTCACTGTTAAATTCCCCAAGTTAGGATAGTGCCTGGCAGTTAGTGTTGTTCTGTAAGTAATGTTAAACAAGTTCATGCATGTATGATTGCTTAAATGAGCAAAGAAGCACTTCCTAAAATGATACCATCTTATACCTTTCTGTACATTAGGGTTTTTCACGCTTATAAAGCTGTTGCTCACCCTTTAAAACCACACTGCCAAGGGACATATATGAGTGGGCTTGGTGGTTTCCTTTGCCTGCAACTTGAGCTTTTCTGCACCCAGCATTAGGAAAGGTTTTACTGAATTTCCAGATTACAGATCTATTCATCTCCCTGAGACCATTTAAACTTCCTGAAAAAGAGGAAAGAGGAGGACTCTGCATTCTAAAGCCCAGTAGTCCACCTTCTCCAATCTCCACCACCTGCATACACTATCATCTTTTCCCCTGATCACAGTGTGAGGGGCTTCCTCCCTTCTTCCTCCGTCTTAGTCAGAGGGGTGCTTTCTACCCTCCTCCACACACTCTCAACCTCAGGGTTTCAGACTTTCCCCTCAACCCCTTTTAATGAGTAGTACCTCGTTTTTTGTTTTATTGTTTGCTCACTGAACATCTGCTTTCAACTTCTTTCAATTTATATTCTTTCTATTAAATAGCTTTTAGAAAACCAACACAAATAGAAGAAAAAACTAAGCCACCTGAGCTGTCACACTCTCTAAAGAACTGTTAATAGTTTGAGATATTTTCTTCCAAACTCCTCCCTGCATGTGCTTTTTATATGTTTTAGTCAGATAGCACATTTAATTTCACACTGTATTTCCTTGTGGTGTCATGACATTTTTTTGCCTTATAATTTGTAACTCTTAATGTCTCTGTTCACTTGATATGGTCTAATTCTTCAGTGAGTTTACCCATGGCCTAGCTCATTGGTAGTTTCCAAAATTTTGCTATTAAAAATAGTAATACAAGGACTATTTTTGTATGTGAATTTCGTAACATATGACAGGAGACATTATTCAGTAGGAGCTGGTACCATCATGGGAGGGTCCTCAACTCACTCCTACCATGGAGCAGATTCAAGAACATTTCTCACAGAAAAAGGAATTTCAAGACCCCTCAGTGAGAGGCATAGACAGACTTTTAGGCAGAGTTGAAGAAGTACACAGTAAGAGAGAAAATAGAATATGGGTACCCAAGAGAGAGCTGTCTGGGGTTGGGGTCATGTGTATGGTCTTGGTGGTAGCTTTTGGCATGAGTGATCTAAGATGCTTTGCCTTAAAACATTCTTTGACTGTTCTGAATTTGTTTCTTCATCTTAAGCTTGGGTTACTCCATTTAATCATCTGGGTTAATTATGAACTTGAGTGCTTTTAACGGCTTTGAGTGTGATGGGCCTGGAAGGAAAAAAAAAGCAAAACAAAACTAAAAGGGTGAAAGAAAATAGATGTGGATAACCTTAGGTAACTTTCATTATGTTTTATAATTTCCTTTCTACCTATTTAATTTATGCTATTTTGCCTCCCTACAATGGGATTTTATAGAAGAGGAGACAGATAAGGCTCACTTCCCTCACAATACCATTTTGAACAAACATAATTCTCAGCCTCTTTCATGTCCAGTAAGCCATTGTTGTGAAGTTCCTTCAGTGTCTAAGTGAGGCAAATTCCTATTTTGCCCCCTCCTCCTGCTCCTCTCTGTTATAAACAAGACACCTCTCTTTCAAGGACTGTTACTCCATTTTAATGCTCCTATTTCTTTTCCTAGGCTGGCTTTTAGGAAGCCTTAACCATGTTTTTATACACTGTTCCCTTCCACAAACCAGTTGCCTTCTACATGCCAAGCACTTGCACTTGTTTCCTATATACCCCACGTTGCAGCACCTTCGGGGTTTATACATTAGAAAACAGAGACTCATGGAACTCAAGTCCTCCATCAGACTCACTGGGTTACTCAGGGAGTTTGAACAGGCCTATTTTCAAAGCTATGTCCTTTCCCCCATTCTACATTGAGGAGAAAATCACCTTTCCTTTTAATGTTTAAAGCCTGACTTCTCCTTCTCTGGAAAGGTAGATGCAACATAGAGAGGACACTCCCTTTGTCCTAACCTTATTATCAGACTTCAGTCTGAGGCTTTAGGCAGGTTTCTTCATTTTCCTTGATCTCTATTCTACTCAGTGCCAGAATAAGCTTGCCTCCCAGGTATCACATAAAGAGCTATGGAAGATAGTCATGCGCCCATGTCTGTAATCCTCCCAGCACTCTCTGAGGCTGAGGCTGGAGGGATTCAAGTTCAAGCCTAGATTGAGCAATTTAGTGACACAGTGAAACCCTGTCTCAAAATAAAAAATAAAAAGCCTTGGGATATAGCTTAGTGTGAAGTCTCTGGGTTCCCTCCTTAGTTGTAACACACACACACACACACACACACACACACACACACACACACACACAAGCTATGGAACACAACACATGAAAGAAAACAACTGGCCCTTAGCAAGTGACTTTGGGCTATGGTGCTGGGGAGAGGAATAAGCTAGAGGTAGCAAAGTTGTCTTAAGAAATGTGTCTGTTGTTGGAGGTTTCAAGAAGATTAAGAAAAAAACTGGTGGGATCTGACAAGTGCTCTATCACTGAGATACAGTCAATGTATAAATAATCCCAAAATTCACATAAATAAAAAAGACCCTAAATAGCCAAAGCAGTCCTAAGCAACACGATTAAAGATGGAACCATCACAATACCCCCCTTTAAAATTATACTTCAAAACTATAGTAACAAAACAATATGATATTCCATAAAAACAGACATGTGCCCAGCACTTGGGAGGTTGAGGCAGAAGTTCAAGACCAACATGGATTTAATGGTGAGCTCAAAATCAGCCTGAACTGCATAGTGAGACCTTGTCTCAAAAACAAACAAAAAAGATATGTAGATCAATGGAATGGAATAGAAGACACAGAAACAAGCAAACAAACAAAACAAGAGATGTAGTTCAATGGAATGGAATAGAGAATAGAAACAAACCCATGAAACTACAACTACCTGATTCTCGACCAGGAAGCCAAACATATACCAAAAAAGACAGCCTTGTCAGCAAATAGTGGTGGGAAAACTGACCATTCACTTGTAGAAGACAGACTATATCTCTATCACTTACCCTTTACTAAAATCAGTTAAAAATGGATCAAAGATCTGGGTATAAAATCTGAAACAGTGAAACTGCTGATAGAAAACAGAGGTGAAATAGTTGAAGGCACAGGCACAGCCAAACACTTCCCAAATAAAACCACAATAGCATAAGTTAAAGTGAATGGACATAAACACAATTCAAAGAAAACTGAAAATATAATCATAAAATAATGTTTAAAGAAACCCAAGTAATAACCCAAAGATAACCTGGAGACAAGAAGTAAGTAGACAATTTCAAAAGGGGTTAGGTTCAGTTTAAATAAATAATCTAATGGTGTACCTCAAATGTCTAGAAATGAAAAAATCAAATTCAAAACTCATACAAGAAGGAAATCATAAAGAGCAGAATAGAAATTAATAAAGTTGAGACTGAAAGTTTCTTGCCCTAGTATAAGTTACTGTATACGTATGGTGGTGGTCTAATGTGGTCGAAGGCCAAAGTGGGAATACTTACCACTTCTTGCTTCTTCTTCAGCCCTAATAACAACTCCCTTTCCTGTTTGCATGCACAGAGAATTCCAGTTGGTTCCTCACAGGTCATCAATACCTGCCCCATGTGCCACTTCATTCAGAGGTCATATAACCTTCTGCCTCTCTATATCTGGTCAAAGGAGACAGCCCAACCACTATGGGTTGTGTGCTCCTTTCCACATCCTCAATGCAATAAACTATTCATTTTGTACTTTTGCTTATCTATTGTGGCATAATACTCTAACAGAGATTTAAAAATGCAAAGAATTAACCAAATAGCTGGTTCTTCAAGAGAATAAACAAAATATACAAACCCTTAGCCAAAGTCACCAAAAGAAGGAAAGAAAAGAAAAATACTAAATCAAATAAAAACAAAAAAGGGCCAAATCACATTGAACCCTGCAGAAATCCAGAAGATTATTAGTAACTACTTTGAACACGTGTTCTGCAATAAATTAGAGAGAATCTAGAAGAAATGGATAGATTTCTAGATACATGATCAAAACAGAACAACAATTAAAAACAAAAAATGTATAAAAACCTTGAACAAGCCAATAACAGGCAGTGAAATTGAATAGTAATTTAAAAGCCTATCAATTAAGAAACGCCAAGGATCTGATTGATTATCACTGAATTTTAAAAAGACCTCGTGGAAGATCTAATGCCAATACTCCTCAAACTCTTCAATGAAATTGAAAGAGGAATACTACCAAAGTCATTCCTTGTTCCCAAAACCAGAAAAGGACTCAATTAAAAAAAGAAAGCTACAAGTCAATCTCTTTAATGAACATAGATTCAAAAATGTTCAACAAGATATAGTCAGATAGAATGCAACAGACCATTAAAAAGATCAGGTATCATGACCAAGTAAGCTTCATTCCAAGGATACAACATACACAAACCAATAAATATAATATATCACATGAACAGAAACAAGGACAAAAAGAATGACATGATGTCTTAGTTACTTTTTAATCATCACTGAGACAAAATACCTGATGCCCAAAGTTGGGAAAGGAAAGGTTTATTTCTTATAGTTTTTGGAGGTTTCAGTCCATACTCAGTTGGCTCCAAGGCATGGGGCATGCCGGGGCTGCAGTTCATGGTGGCTGCAAACAGCAAGGCAGAAACTGGCAAGAAAGCAAAACACAACTTCTTCCTGCCATTACATAGTATGCTGGCTCTACCCCTAGGTGGGTGTAACACTGACACCATCAATCCAAGCTCTAGACAATGAACCAATCACAATGCATAATGCAAATGCATGACACCTGGGGGCCACGACATAAACCATGACATTCCACCCTTGGCCCCCAGGACTCATGTACATCTTTTATACAAAAGACATTTAGTCCATCGCCAAGAGTTGCCAAAGTCCTAACAGTTTCAGCATGCTGAAAAGTCCAACTCCCATGTCTCCTCCAAGATCTATGGCAAAGTCTTAACTGTAGCACCCCGTAAAAATGAAACAAGATTAAAAATTTCTGAAATGCAAAGACACAAGATAAAAATTACCATTCCAAAAGTTACAAAGAGGGTAATATAAAGCATTGAAAACAAAGCAAGTCCAACATCCAGCAGGGCAAACATTAAGTCCTAGAGTTTCATGCTCAGTATTTGAAGGAATCTGGTTGTAAGCTCCAAAAGACTTGAGTGATTCCACTGCCACAGCACTTCCAGGGATTTCAGTTCCTGCAGCTTTTCTCTTAAACCTCTTTGCTCACTTTTTGCAGCTTTCCTTGGATAATCCATGTTCCTGGCTTTTCCAAACTTCTGGGGTTTCCACTGCACCTCTGGCTTCACCCTTAAATCTTTACAAATTGCCCTCTCAGGGGCACACTGCTTGGTCTCCCACACCCTTTGCAATTGAGGTGGAAGCCATCTTACCCTCAGAATTTGTGCATTTTCCTTGCACTTAAAATCAGCACCATGTGGATGCCACCAAGGTTTGCTGCCAGCTGGAGTAGTAGCCAGGCCTTTTTTTCTCTTGGTTGTTGGGGTCCAGTGCTTGGATTGCTGAGCTCTGTTTACCTGATTGTGAGGAAAAGCTTTTCTATGTTATCATCTGGAACCTCATGTGGCCTCCATTGCTATTCTGGAGCATGGTGCTTTCTCCTCTGAGCAAATTCTTCCACTTTTGCAGTTTTTAGGCTACAAAGGGTGGAGACCCATTGCTTCCTTGGATGCCCCTAGGCCATCTTTCATATCTCTCTGTTTCTCCTCAGCAATCAAAGTCTCAACTTGTCTTTGTAATCCACAGCTTTCCTAGAGTTTTCCTTCTGGCCAAACCCACAGCGTTGCAAATTATCCTGCTGGGCTCTTTGCTCTTGATTTGCAACATAAAGCTGGCTAAAAGCCCACAACAATAACTGTGCCACAGCCTCAACATTTGACTGCCTTGAAATTTTGCCAGATTATCAGTCCATTGCCTATTTAGTCTCAGTCTCAGGCAAAGTCTCTGGGCATGAGCAAAGGATAAACTTTCTGCAGAGCCATAACACACATTGTGGGGAGTCCAGCAACGAATTTAGTCCTTCTTCCCAGCAGAAACCTCCCAAGCGTGGTCTTTACCATCAGGCTTTCTATCAGCCTTCTGGTCTCCTGAGTGCTGACCAGAATCTTCTCTACAGAAGAGCCTAAACTGCTCCAGATCTATGCATCCAGGCAACATGTATGAACCTTTCCAAACTCTGCCCACAAGCCATTTCCAAAGCCTCTTGAAAAACATGATCAGATATAGTCACAGCAAATGACCCCACTCCTGGTACCAAATTCTGTCTTAGTTACTTTTTACTTGTCACTGAGAAAAAATACCTGATGCCCAAAGTTGGGGAAAAAAGGTTTATTTCTTATAGTTTTTGGAGGTTTCAGTTCATACTCAGTTGGCTCCAAGGCATGGTGACATGCCAGGGCTGCATTTCATGGTGGCTGCAAACAGCAAGGCAGAAACTGGCAAGAAAGCAAAACACACCTTCTTCCTGTCATTATATTGTATGCTGGCTCCACCCCTATGTGGGTGTAACACTGAAACCATCAATCCAAGCTCTAGACAATGAACCAATCACAAATACATAATGCAAACGCATGACACCTGGGGGCCACTGACATAAACCATGACACATGATTATCTGAACAGATACAGAAAAGGCCTTGGACATGATCCAGTATCCATTCATGTTAAAATCCCTGAAGAAAATAGGTACAGAAGACTTTATCTCAATCTGACAAAAGCCAATCTGGCAAATATATTGTCAACATTACACTAAATGTAAAAATGGTCATGCTACCAAAGCTGGTGTATAGATTTAATGCAGTCCTGAGCCAGAGTCTGGGAAAGCAGCATATGCTTTTTGATAAGGGAAGTGATGAAGTAGAAGTTAGAGGCTTTCAGAGTGGGTGCATTTGGTGCTGAGGATCATGCTGGTGTAGCCACCACCAGGATTTGGGCTGGAGATTGGAGTGCTTGTCGCAGTCTCAAAAGCCTCTAGTAGAGGATTTTAGCTATGCTTTTACTCAGAAGATGTGAACATAGTGGCTAGGCCCAAGAACTAAAGCAAAAAAAAAAGTTGTGGGAGGGCCCTAGCAGATAGCATAAAAATCCAATATAGATTGCAAACAGCATCAACTTAAAGATCTCTTTGGCTGAGTTGATTAAAAAGTTTGAGCGAACAACTGTGAAATTGAGACATATATATTAAAATTTATATTAATTATGTAAATACATGTGCTTATTAATATATATTAGACAGATTTGGGGGCAGGAGGGTCCACAATGTCCCTGTGCCTCATGGAGAAAGAACCACAGGGTACCAGTAGCTACTTCGTCCAAGAGGCTGGAAGCCACATAACAAGGGACATGAGGAAACAGCACCAGTCCAAGACCAAGAGCCTGGAAGCTCCCTGGAAATTTGCCGATGTGAGTTTGCATAGAAAGGCTAATGAAGCTGGAGTCTGATGTCCCCAGGTGATCGCAGCAACAAAATAATAGGCCCTCGAACAGAACAGGGTTGCACAATGTAATCCAGGTTGACCTTGAACTCAAGACTATCCTGCAACAGTCCTGCTGCAATTACAATGTTGTACCACACCACACCCAGCAGTCAGTTTGTCTTGAAGTTTCTGATCAAGGAATTCTTTTGTGTGCCTCTGAGACTTGAAAGAACACTCTGGAGTTTAGATGATATTCTCATAGCCAAAGACCTTCAGTGTGTCTGGCATCCTGTCTGGTGAGTGGAGATTTTCCACCTGTACGTGGAGGCATGGAAGCAATGTTAGAAGGAAGCAAGGCTCTGCATCTTCCTGGATCTCAGATTTTCTTATATCTGAGATTACCCAAGCAGAATCTCCACTTGGCTTGCTCTTAATCGTTTCCAGTTTAGAGAGCGAAGATTTTTTAAAAGGTTTAACCCATCTTAATCTTGTTTATTTATTAATGTACTAGATATTCTTTGTAATAAAGCAACTGTATTAGAAGCAACTGTTTCCACCACTAGAAAACTGCTTTTAAGAACCCTATCTTTTCTCTTCTGTTTTGAAGAGGAAGGGAAAGGAGACAGAAAGGTACTATTGCTTCTACCAATGAAAATCTAAGAATAAGCCTTAAATCTTAGTACATTAATAGTTTGAGTACAAGGAATGTGAAAATCACTTAACATAGTGAGAACAAGGAACAGAAGTGGAAATATCCTTTTCTCTTATTCTAGCTCCAGAAGCAAGGTGGTTTCTTGCTCCCAGATATCTTTTTTCCTGCCAGGTACAGCCTAAGCCATGTCTCTTTTTCTTCACCCAAGAGTTGTTCAGAACCCCTCTCTGCTATTTTTATCTAGAACATTTCACTTATTCTACTATTCCTACAATTTGCTTCTATTACCTATATTCATATATAAAAAAAATGGAATCCCTTATAATAGCTGAGAATATGAAATTTTTGAAGCCCAAGAAATTTTATCCTAAATATCAAGCAGTAAAAAGGATGGCACAATTAAGATGAAACTCAGCTCTAAAATCTCTTACCTTTTTTGGTATTTGCACAGTGGAATAAACAGTATTTTCTGGGTCTTCCTCTGGATTATTTTTCTATTGAAAAATAAACAATAGGTAAGATAGATAACCATACTGCTAAGTTTTTGTTAGTTCATCAAACAGAATGGTTTGTACTGTCATTGTTTGATTGTCCAGGTTTTATGCTTTGATTTTGTGACTTGAGCAGCTACTTCTAAGATAACAATATAGAGTTTATCAACTAGTGATTTCTTACTGTTTTTTTGAAATTTATATTATTTCTACTCTTTTTTCTGTTTTGCTTTTTTTCTCTAAATAAAAGAAGTAAAGTAAACAATAAACAAAAGAAATCATCACCTATACCCTAAGTCACACAGACAAGAACTGAGAGACATCCAGAAATCACGGAGGGAAAAACAAAGGGGGAAGAAGATGGAGAGAAGGAAAAGAAGATTATGAAACAAAGATGGTAGTCAGAACTACTATTCTAATAATTATTAATAGATTGTTTTAGGAAGTCATGGAATTATTGTTATTCATTTATCATTTATTTCTATGTTTATTGCATTATTTTTACTGTTACATTTAAATGAATTTTAAAAAATATAAGATGTAAATCTCATGAGCTATAAGCCTCCCAAGGGAATAAAGGATAGTCATGAGGTTCTTGAAAAAAACCAATAAGGGTGCCTGATGTTCACAGACAAACGAGACAACAAGGTGATAACAAAATCTCCTTCCCCAGGAAAAAAGTCCTGGGTTGGTAAAGTCTACTCTTGAACATCTAAAGTGGATTTGCAGCCTCTCTGGGGTATGTCCTGAACAGGGAAACCAAAAGGATGATGATAACTGAAAAAGTTTGATTTAAGCCAGTGGAGTGGAGCACAAAGCAGTCCTCCTAAGAGGAAGGAAGGAGCTCTCAGAATATTAATAACTTCAAAGAGGAAAGGTAGTGTCTCCTCTTTTAAATAGGTCTGCATGGGTAAATGTAGATAGAGAAGATGCTCCTGATCAAGAGACACCAAAAGCTAAAGCCAAATTGGGGTTTTGAAGGTCTAATTTAATTTCTGCATTAAGTGGGTCACTTCAGAAAAGGGCTCCCCCTCATCTAAAAGAGCTTCCTACTTTGGGCTATAATGACTAGTCCTGGGGCACTTTTTGAAGTTGTCCACTTGCTCCATGTCTCCTGGTTGTCATTTTGTTATTTGGGTTTCTTTAAACATTATTTTATGACTTTCTTTTCAGTTTGAATTATACTGTGCCCATTCACTTCAGTGCAGTAAAGTGGGAACTTAGGAAGGTAAGTCCTTTCTAAATTGAGTGTAGATCTAAAGTGATAAAGGCTTCTGGCCCTTCCCTTCATGGTTCTGAGTCACCTAAAGAAAGAGGAGTCTAGAGCAACGAGTCTTTTGACACCATTACTCAAACACTGTGTCAAAGTCACAGTTCTCAACCCACCTCTATGCAAAAGGAATTGGTCATTTTGAGTGGTAACTGTGAACTGCAGAAGGGAAAGGGTGAGTCATGCAGTGTTCACAGCATAAGTGTTACTAACTGGCTCAGAACCAGGTGCTTGAGAGGCTGTCAACTTCTGCACAGAGGTGAATCCGTAAAGACTTGGGGGGAGACATAGGTACACTGAGTTTTCAGGGCTCTGTAGTCTAACCTCTCTGTCGATTTCCATGTTACCCAAACCATAGGAAAATCTCAAAGTAAAACAAAGAGAGCCTTAGAAAGATGAATCAGGTCCTAAGAAACATGGAGCAGGACTTACATGGATTGAGGGGATTGTGTCATAATCCACGTTCTCTGCAGAATAGGGATAGAAGTTAGGAATTTTCTGCTGGATGTCCACGCTGCTCTTGATTTCAACAGGTTCTGAAATCAAGTAAAGGGAAAATGAAAGCCTGCCAATCTCACCACTCACCACCCTTACCGTCATCTCATCACCATCATCTCACATGGATGGCCCACTGAGGGTCACAGCCACTCCAGGTATCCTGCAACTGAAGGATTTGCTGGGGCAGGGAACTTCCAGTTTTAAATCTGGACAAAATCCTAGGTAAATAAGGATGAAATAGGCCCCTTCATTCATGATCTTGGAACCCAGGTGACCAGAATGGGAAACAGAGAAGGTGATAAATGCTTTCATAGTGTTTTCAGTGTTCAAGTCTCTCCCTCACATCCCAGATGGACAATATCAGGTAGGGGCTGAGAAAATATATCAGCAAGGCTGTGTGGAGGTAAGAGAACAGCTTTTCCAAGAAGAATGTGTTTATGCTGAAGTAAGGAGTGGTGAATGGTCTCAAGAGATGACTCAGTGGAGAAAACTGGGACTAGTTTGGGGACTCTTGATGTGGATGTGGATAAGAAGGGCTGATTGAAGGGTGTTCTGGGGAAGTACCAAAGTTGGAGGGCATCATCTTTCAGATCAGAGGGACAGAGCCAGCTATATGAAGCATGTGTCAGCAGAGGGGCCACACCAACAACTCCCTCTGGGAGAAAGAGATAAGTGGATGCTGGAGAGAGATTTTGGTTTCAGAAGAAAAGGCAAGGACTCCAAGTCTATTTCTACTCCAGAACCATGGAGTATAGGCTACCTGTGTGCTTCTTGGGGAGGATTATGACCTGTGTTTTCAGTACCAAGGCTTACATAAGGCTCATCACATGCTTGTGGAATAAATGAGGGGGAAAATGCACAAGTGATAGTGACAACAACAAAAAAAAATCACACCTTTTCTTCTCTTCATTAGGCTAGTGAGAACTGCCACGGACACCAGGAAGCATATTGGGATGAGCACCAACAGTAGATATAAAAGTTTCAAGGGGAAACCTGAGTCATCAACAGCACCTTTAAAGAAAGAATGGACGTAAGTGTGAGGAAAGGAGAAAAGTTGGTTAGGAAAGGTAACCCAAGTTTTGGAGCACCTGCCACTTTCCTCCCAGCATGGTGACTTCCCAGACTGCAGAGCCTATTCCCTGGGAGTTAGCAGCTGAAGATGTTATCATTACTTGAACTAGAGCTCCTGGAAAGAGGGGACAGTCACCTTCACAGAACTTCCGGGCAAGGATGGGGCTTGAGGAATTGCTGCTGATAGGGTTCCTGGCCATACAGATGAAGGTCATGTCGTTTTCCCCTGGAGTCCAGGAAATGGGGAGGATGGAGCCATCATGAGACTCATTGGCTGCCTGATCCAGGGCCTTCCAGCTGTAGATCACATCCTCTCCTCCCTCTTCCACGAAACATGTCAGGTTGGTTGTACAGGTGCCATTTTTATTGCTGTATAGACCCATGGTGACTTTGGGCTTTGACAGGTGTTCTGTGAAAAGGAAGTACAGCCAGGAGTGGAAAATATGCTTATAGCTCTTTGAATTATTCTAGGAAAACCTGGACCTAAATTTTCTTGAGAAGAATAAAAAGGAAGAAGTAATTCAGAGCAGAGTTTTCATTCTTATCCAAGTGTCTAAGTGCCCACATAACAATATAGTAATAATATTGATGATGGTAACAATGATCAGATCTGTAGGAGAAAGGATTGTGATTGATGCTTATGCCACATGAGCTTCCTAAGGCAGTAATCATTGCCCTACCATGACACATAAGGAAACTAAGTCTCAAAGGAATTAAGTAACCTGGCTACTTAAGGCCTGCACTAGGAAGTACAGAAGCCAGAATTTGACTTAGGTTTGTGTGACTGCCACTTTCCATGTTGCCCATTTACTTTACTGTATAGTCTATTATAGAATCTGAGTAGGCAGGGACCTCAGGGGTCAGCGATATCTACTTCATTCATGCAAGAGTCCTCTATCCCACATTGCTGTCAAGTGTTTATCCAGCAGATTCTGCTCACATGGAAGAATCATGAGAATTGAATCTGCTCACCATAGACATGAAGCCTGTACTTCCAGGTGAGGGGACTCTCAGAGTCTGAGCTGTGTATCACCACAGAGTAGATGCCTGAGTCAGTCTTCTTCAGTTCACTGAATGTCAGAGAGAAGCCTCCATCTTGGAGAAACACCCTGTGCCTGTTACGTTTCTGTGCTACTATGCTAGTGGCCGGTTGGTCTCCTACGGCTGGCTCTACAGTGACGAAATTGGTTTCATTGAAGGTCCAGGCAATACTGTCAACTTGCTGTACTGTGAAATTCAGAGAGAAGGTCACAGATCCACCAACGGCCCCAACCAGCTCCTTGAAGGCTTCAGAGGCTGCAGCCACTGCAAACACAAAAAAGTATATTAGCCTGAGTCTCTGCCTTTGCCACCAATTACTCATCGCTTCCTTTAGGTCTTGAAAAGACCCTGAGAAACTCTCATGATCCAGTGTGAGAAATCTTTGGAAAGCCCTTCTGAACCTCACTCATATGAGAACACTGAGACCAGAATCCTCTTGCCTGTAAGGAGTGACTACAAATGATCCCAATTCCCAGAGACTTCTAGCTGAAAAGAATACATTCTAAGGTAGTTCAGAAAGCCTGCTCCATCCTAGACAGGATCCTATAAGAGGACAAGAGAGAATGTGACTGTCTCATTCTCCCTTAGGGCTATCAGATTGCTCAAGAGAGAGCTGAAACTGACAACTGATGAAGACAGACTGCTTGCTATGGGGACAGAATTTTGCAGGAATGGATTAGGACAGTAAAGTGAGTAATATCGTAGGAATTTTAGAATGATTTATCTTTCTATTTTATGATAAACTGGAGTGGATTCAAAGTTATCCTCAAAACAGCTTCTTACTCACTTGCAGTCTAATCTGCCCTAATGGGAAGAAAAGGTCAAGTGACAGGGATCCCTGCACTGTGTCCAAGCTAACTCATGATACTCATCACAGACTTTCAGGAACTGTAATAGGATTTTACTTCCATGAAAAGTTTTTTTTTGGGGTGGGGGGCTCTTTTTGAGACAGTATCTCACTATGCAGTTCAGGCTTGCCTTGAGCCCACTTTCTAGCCCAGGCTGGTCTTGAACTCACCATGATCCTCCTGCCTCAGCCCCCTGAGTGCTGGGATTACAGGCATGTGACTCTACTCCCTGCTTGGTCTATCATAATCTTGGCTCACCTTAGAAAGTATGACTTAGAAAGTATGACTCTTAAGCATTCATCAATGTTTATGTGGCTCCAAGTGAAAAAGAGTTAAAAATGACTGTTGAACAAACTTCCAGAAGTGGCCAGCTGATAGGGATTTAGCTCAGCGGCACAAGTGCTGGCCTGGCCAGTGTGAGGTCATGAGTTCAATCCTCAGTACAAAAAAAGTGGTTGAGCATTCTAGAGAAGCAAGTGTTATGGTTTAGATGTAAAATGTCCACCAAAGTCCCATGTACAGAAGTAGGGCCTCATTGGAAAGGGTAGGTTGTTGTGGAGCATAACTTGAAAGAGTGCATTTTAATCCCCAGGTCCTCCCTTCTCTCTCTCTGCTTCCTGGCTGCCATGGTGTGAGCAGCTTTTTTCCATTAGGCTCTTTCACCTCGCAGTTTCTGCCCTGGGCTGGCCTCCTATGGACTGAACCCATTGAAAGTTTAAGTGAAACAAACCTTTTCTCCTCTAATTTTTGAATGTCAGGTATTTTTTCCCAAGCATAATATAGTAGTTATGAGGAATGAGTCATCTTCTACACAATAGGTAGCAAACTCTGGGGATAGCATAGTTCAGTGATAGCTTTTATATTGGGGCCAACAATCTTCTTAGATTTACTATGACCTCATTCAACCCTTAAAATGATCCTTGGGGGAATAATTTTTTATATTCCCATCTTACAGAATAGGAACCTAAGATACAATGGGTGTCAGTGACAAACTAGTCTGTAACTGGAAAAAACTTACAAAGGTACCTTTAGAGTTCAGACTTTAATGTACATTTTATGTAGATGAGAGAACTAAAGCACAGAAATAGAGCTCATTTAAGTCTCATGGAAATGACTAATAAAATTAAACTCTTAGATTAAATGGACAAATCCCAAAGTTGTTTTTCCTCCTGCTTCTTAACATAATGCATAAGTTGAATTATTTTGCGGGGAGCAGGTAGTACTGAGAATTGAAACCAGAATTTCACCCGGAGCTACATCCCCAATTCTTTCTTATTTTTATTAATCTATTCATTTCCAGCTAGTCCATACTTGTGAACAATTGAGCTGTGGACTTTTCAGATAGGAAAGAATCTGGAATTACTAACACATGTAGATGCATACATATTGTAGATGTAGCTCTCATGTCTGCCAAACGGTGTCACAGCTGTGTGGCTGTGTGCTTGTTGTGCTTAAAAATAAAAGTAGTTTATTGACAGTATTTTATGTGTTTTTAAATGCTTTATACTGTATATTGTGTCAAGGATGTGTAAGACTCACTGTGTCAGACTACAGATAAATCCAACTTAAGAATGTGGTCCTGGAAAAGAACTTATTTGTAAGTTGGGGACTGACTATACAGGAAAAATCTTCCATTAGAAAGTAAGAGACACTGCTAAGAGAATTTAGATGGACCTGCTAACAAAGATTAGATCAGCCCTTAACAAATAAAAGTAAGAAAAATAGGAAAGGATTCCAATTTGAGCATCCAGAGAGGGTACACTCTCATAAAAGATGCTCAGACTGGCTGTTTTTGTCTTTTGTGACAGGGTCCACTTCCATGCCACAGTGGAAGAACTCACTCTTCCCCCACATGGGGACCTTGAGCAGAAGAACCTTGCTGCTCACTCTAAAGTACCCCAAGTTTGCTGGCTCAGCCTTGAGCTTTGCCAGGAAGAATAACAAATATGTGTTTGTCAGTTTTGCCAACTTCAAAACACAAACCATAGTTTGACATTCCTTGTAGAAATCTGGAGCAAGGAAGAAATTGTTGTGGAGGAAGGCTGGAAAAGTTAAGGTTAACCTTAATAAGGTTTCCAACAAACCCTGATCAGAAAGAGTTAAATGTCTGCTAGACAGAACAGTTCAGAGAAGCGGAGAGAACTGAAAAGCAACTCAGTGGGCTTCAAAGCAAGAGCTCCAACTCACTCCTCTCCTCTTCCAGTTATATACAAAAAAGACAAATGTATATTCATACCTAGATGCACACTTGTATATGCAATGCATTATTCTCTCAATGTACTGATATACTAACATGTACATCTAATCCTTTTTTGCTCACTTGGCCTTGAATGTGAGGTTCGGCTATAATTCTCACAGATGTCACCCTGACAGTACAAAGAGTCCAAAGAAAATTTCTTCAAGAATGTACACATAGGCAATGGAAAGAGACAGTGACTGAATCAGGGGTCTCAGAGCCTAAAATAGCCGATCAAGAGATAACAACTGTCAAGGGGAGAGTCCCTTTCTTGCCACATAATGAAAGAGACTAAGAACAAAGATTCTTGAGTACCAGCTCTGGGCTCCCCTCCTTACTCCAACAAGGTAGCTATCTATCTCCTTGTTTCTCTCCTCTTTCTAATAAAGTGATTTTCCCTTCTAAACTTATAACTCTAATTGTTTCTATTTATATAAAGTTTACTAACTCTAGATGAAAGCTACCCTTATGCAATGTGATGGAATTTTCCAGAAAAGTTCTATGGGTGGTAGAAATGAGAATTTATAATTTATGTGCAAAATGCCTTCAAATAAATAGACAGAATTTTTAAGCATATGAATGTAGTCTAAGCTGGATATATTAAATTTAGCATGGTTATACTCATTTTATTTTTATTTTAAAAGAAATGAAAATGAGAACTATTGTGGTTCTTATGCACTGTTTTCAGAGCCTAGCTGGGCTGTGAGCTTAACCAAGCATCTGGATTCTATTCCTTTCCCAACTTCCTTTTGTATCATAATATTTTCTAGTACTCCAGTACCAATGGAACTCATGACTATCAGATATACAAATTGCTTCCTTTGTCCAATTAAAACTCAAATATCTTGGCAAAAGTTTCCAAATAATAATACTTGTGAGTTATTAAAGGTATTCTCTGTGCTAAAGATTTACTGTAAATATATACCTAAAGCTTTTCCACAAATTAGGTATTTTGAACTTTTTATACAAGGTTCAGCAACCTATAGTCAATCTATCTTGCTATTTTGCCTTTGTAAATAAAGTCTTATTAGAATATAGACATGCTTCTTCATTTACGTAGTGCATGGCAGCCTTTGCACCAGATAGAGTAAACTGAGTGATTGCAGCAGATAATATTTCCTCCAAAGCCTAAACTATCTACTATTTGAATATTTTAGAACCGCTAGACTATGCTTGTAGCTTAGTGGTAGAGCCCTTGCCTGGCGTGCACAAGGTCCTGGGCTTGATCTCCAGCACTGTAAAGTGTTTTTTTTTTTTAAGGGGAAGGTTTACTAATTCTTAAGTTCATAAAAAAAAAATATTAAGAACAAACAATAACCAAGAAATTTATCCAAGAGCACATAGATAATAGGTTATGATTTGAGGGTTTCACCACATGTCACTCTAGTTCTGGGATCTAGACCCTTTCCTTTGATTCAATTTGAGGGTGCTTTTAAACTGCCTTCTCTGTAACTACCTCAAGGCATGTCAAAATAGTCCCTGTAAATGTTTCAGACAAAATCAAATTCATTTTGAATGTTTAATCAGTTAACCCATTCATTTCTTTCACATCAACAACAGAGATGGAAAGGATGAGTATTTTGAAGTCAAGTAAATCTTTAAGTACTCATATGAGTGCAATTCCTGGATTTAGGCAACATTTAAGTAATTGTATTTTCACATTAGATTTTAGACAAGAGCATTAATTTTTTCTAAGGGTGGTGCCCCCCCTGACATGACACCTTTCAGCAGACTGACCTGTTAAAGTTTCCACCACGTCTAAGTCACCACAGTGAGGATAGACTTCCTATCATATACACCTTTGGCAGGCAAACCCACATCCCAACTGTCATGGGAATATAGGTGACAAAAGTAAAAAAAAAAAAAAATGTAGCTTCTGCATGTATGCTTTTAAACCACAAACAATTACTCTTTGCTTTTTTCACAGTCAGGGGTTATTTTCTTGGGGCAAATACCATAAGTTGTGAATTGTGTGGTAGTACAAGGAAATGCCCCAAGTTCATTATTCCCTGTTAGAATAAAATTGGAAGATTACACAGTGCCAGATGAAGCATATTGTTCTATCTGAAGTGTATCTTGAAAGTGCAAAGAGGAATAATGAAAAAAAGGCAGCTCTCTGTCACTTTCTAAATGTGAATCAGAGAACAAGTGCCAGGTTTTATGAATCCTAACTAGTTTTGTTTCCTCTTCCCAGATAAGTAGGAAAATAATTTCATAAACAAGCTTTTAAACTGTCCAAGGCTGAAATGAAGTGCCCTTTCTGTACTGGCTTTTCCATCTGTATGGGTGATTCTATAGCATTTTATCATATCTAGCCAGGTCACCTTTGTCTTCTTCTTTCCTGGATAAGAACGTACTTAGTTCCATGCTTATCATAGGCTAATTTTGAAGCAAAAATCATAGCTGGGGAAAAAGGCACTCATGACCCTTGAGTTCATGAAATTGGGAGACAGTCATTAAGTAACTAGAAGTATTATAAAAGGGGAAATAATAGGTTTTTTAGGGATGCAGAAGGGGAGGGGCTAACACATCTGTGGGACCAGAAGATGATAGAGAATGAGTAATTACAAACACCAACCTTAAGCCACAGATGGTCTGGGCCCCATGAAGAAATGGCCATTCTTCTACCTAAGTCAGAGCAGTGAACAGTGTAATTTGCCTTTTCTGCTTTCATTTCACCGCATTCTCAAGGGATCCAGGAGGAAGACTTCTGGGGAGGAGAGTTTGAGCTCGCCTCCTTCCCACCAACCCAGCTTCCACGTAACTCTCCAAGCACTTTCTGCTCTATGTCAGAGGGTCAGGAAAGCACAAGCATGTTGTGGCTCTCTCCTCTTGGAAACCAAGAACTAGAATGTCTCAGGACTGAGAAGAAATTTGGAACTGCTCAATCCAAGTCCATTCACAGGTGATAAGGCTGGCGATCAGAGAGGGTTAAGGTGACATGCCCCAAGTCAGTGAACCATGGCTCATAAGGCAAGCTTTCCTGAAATGTTCCCCAGCTACCCTGGGAGTCTGAGTGATTCCATGTGTTTCTGGGAAGCTTAGAAGAGGCCTGAGGGAGGCAAAGTAGAACAAAGGATGATGGGCAGAGGTTACAGAATTTCCCCACCATCATAGAGGCATCAGTTCTCTGTGTAGTCATTTATGTATTTGTAATGTATTTTTAAAAGAAGTCTGGAGTCTACTGCTCTTTAGCTAACTTCTCCTTTACTAATTTCCTCTGGACAGAACATTGCAAATCAAGCCATGTGGGATGTACACAGAATGGGAACTTTGCAGATCTCCCAATTCACCACACCCTTCTTCATTTGGTCCTACTCTTTCCTGCCCTGTTGACCTTTGAGCTCCTCACCATGCTGCTCACACTTATCTCCCACCACCTCATCCTTATTTTTTCTGGTTCTCTGCCATATCCCTATATTCCTTTTTCTGATTTTTCTTCTGTTGTCCCTTCAGAGTGACTGTATCATTAATCACCACAAAATATGCCAGGAACAGCCTATTGTGCCTATAATTTAGATGAGACATCTGAGGCTGTGAAAGTTGCTTCTGGGCCCTGCTGACCTCGGGTAAAGTGACGCCCTGTTGGTGTCACTTTAATCAGTACTACCTGTTTTCCTTGGTCCTTCCGCTGCCTAACTTGGGCTTGTGCTCTTGGAGAAGGAGGAAATCTCAGTTGGCCCTCTCTGGGGAAGAATCAGCTCAAATAAAAATTTACTGAGTACTTCCCTGCTGTCAAGTACAGGATTAATTTGGCGTGATGAGGACACTAGCTCTGGAAACTCAATCTCCATTATATTTTTTATTTATTTATTTTTTGATAGAGGAAATAAAAACCCAGGGTCCTTGCAGTCAGATACATCTCATTCTAACCCCTTTTTATTTTTGAGACAGGGTTTCATTAAGTCACTAAGTTGACCAGGCTGGAGGCCAGCTTGTTATCCTCCTGCCTCAGCCTCCCAAAGTGCTGGGACTGCTATGCCTCTTAATGTCTTACCCATGAAACCTGATCTCTCTGAGCTTAACTTTCTTAATCTGCGAAATAGAGGTAATAATACTTGTCTTAGAGACTTAGCATGAAAAGCACCTTGGATGGAGTAGGAGCATAAATGATGATTTGCATTTATATCTCGTTTTAAAACATCACAATAATTATGCAAGTTAGATTCCCTTCCCTGTTCCACACTTGAGAAGAGCATGGCTCAGGGATGCGTTAACTTTCACACAAGAACACAGCTACTAAGTCAAACCTAGGCTATCCTTGGTCAAGGTCAGCTCTCCTTGTACTTCCCTGCTTGGTGTAGGCTCTAGGACAGTGATGGCAAACATCATCATGATGAGTTTCCAAAGTGCAACCCCAAACTCACTTATTTATCCCACAGCGTCAACACTGCAATTAATCTTGAATACTAAGGCTTTAGTTTAGAAAGAAAAAACTCATATATTAACATATTTTTTCTTAAAAACAAATAACATGTGTGCCATAGGTCTGCCACCACTGCTCCAGGACAATCTCTGACTCCTTTCAGGGATGGGGTTCTGCATGACTGCTGACAGCCTCCTCAAGCAGGGCAGAAGAGACCCCTATGGCAGAATTTGACCTTTGTACCTTCTTGCACAAAGTTCAGATTTCACGTGGACACCTGGGATGTCCTCCCCCATCTCACCTTCTTTGAGTTCCATTTCTGGTCATAGTTTCAGTTCTAAGACTTATAAAACAAGTTTATTTTAGGAGCACCTGCTTAAGACCAGGTGCTGCTCCTTGTTCTCTTTCTCCCCTCCTCCTTACCTCCTTGCCCTCTCTTCTCCTTTCTTCTTCCTCCTCTCTTCCTTCTTAATTTTGAGACAGGGTCTTGTTAAATTGCTAAACTGCTCACTTTAGGCTCAAACCTGTGACCCTCCTGCTTCAGCCTTCCTGAATGCTAGAATTACAAACATACACCTCCAAGCCTGGCAGATCCAGGGGCTTCTAAACAACAGAAAATTTCTAATGAATTCAGGGAGCAGTGAGTCTGCAGATGCAGATAGCTCAGTGAGGCCAAGTGATGAGAGGAAACCATAGAGAGTTCTGAGTGCCTGGATGGTTTTGGCAAGTCACTTTAGGCAGATGAGGGGTGCACATAATGAACAGTTGTGCTGAGCCCCTAAGTCTGATGACAGGAGAGACATTTCTCACTTCTAGGGCTCCTTGTCTTTTCTGACAGCACTGAGTATAGAAAAATCTTCAAATACTATCATATCAATGACAGGTGCACAAAATTCTTCACCCTGTGTGATTAAATATACCATGCCCACAGGAAGAATTCATGCCCTAAGTAAAGACTGATTAGATTTGCTTATATTGACAGAGAAAATTCAAAAGATTCCTTATATCAAAAGAATTGTTATCCATATTCAGCAATACATGGAATTCATTTAAATATAATATATTCATAAATAAATAAATGCACACCTATATAATTTTGTTGTAAAGTTACCCTCAAAAGGTAGGAGGCTGGAAGATAAAGACTAAGCTCTTTAGTCAGGGAAGTTCTGACTTTCCTTAAATAATTTATGGCAGAACATAAGCCTTCTTACACCAGCACCTCTTCCCTCAGCCCTTCCCTCCTGGAGCCATCAGAAGGGCAGATGGTCCCCAGAGCTTTTCTCCCCCAATCTCTCTAGTCTCTTCTTGCCCAAAGACCAGAAGTTTTTTTATTTTTTATTTTTTAATTTGTTTTTAAGGAAGCAATGCTAGATGAGGAGCAGAGCCTTCTGAGTTGAACCAGAGGTCCAGGTGGACCCAGGGATCCAGAGCTACATCTCAGGATCAGAAAACTAGTCAAGACAATGGGAAAGGGTCTGACTGGACTCACCTGTCAGTTGGCAGAGGAGAGAGATTAGAATAAGTCGTACTGGGGGAGCAGCCATACTGTTCTCTGGGTGTCAGCCACTAAAATGAAACCACTTTTCTCACATTGCTTCCTCACCGTGGGGTTTAAGTAAACAGAATCATGCAGCTGACACGTGAGATGAAAAGATTAAGCGTCATGCTTATTCCACTAATGAAGAAACAAATGAAAACCAAAAGTGGAATTTATTTTCTGATTCACACAAATACATAGATTTGGGCTAAGAACTCCTCATGATCATATGGTTTGGTTTTTCTATTACACAACATGATTTTCCAGAGACACAGAAAGAGAGAAAATAGAAAATGAAATGGAAGGACAAAAGGAGTTGCATTGGAGGGAATATTTATTGAAATTTTCTAAGCCAGGAGCTGTGCCTGAATTCATTAACTCATTCTGTATAACAATGCTTTGAGTGAAATACTAGTGTAAACCCTATTTTAGAGGTGAGAAATTAAAGGTTTAAAGTATATTACAAAATAAAATTTCTTTTAACTAAGATAAACCATTGAGAATAAAAATTAAATCACAGAGTGGGAGATGATAATCACAACTCATATATCTTATGAAGTTCTTCAATCTATAATATATAAAGAAGTCTTACCAAAAGAAAAAAACTTTAAGTAGATAACTCAGTGGGTAGGAGACTCAAATATTTCATAACAAAGTGTATCCAAATGGCTGATAAGAAAATACTAAGAAAATAATGCAAATATAACTATTTAAAAAGTCAACAAAATCACAAAATAGAATTCTAAAAAAATTCTAATAATAGTTATTTCTAAAGGAAGAAAAGAAAAATGATGAAAACAAAAAGAGAACAAGCAAACAAAATATAGTAAAATGGTCACCTTAAATCCAACCACATAAATAACTATACTAAGTATAAGTTGACTAAACACTACAATTCAAAGGCAAAGATTGTTAAAATGGATAAAAAGAAAAACTGAGATTGAATGATCTTATTAACAAGAGATGCATTTTAAAAATATAGATGGGCTGAGAGTAAATGGGTGGATAAATTTATACCATTCAGCCACTAGATAGAAGCATGGAGTTATTACCCAAATATCGGAGAAAGTTAACTTTACGGTAGACAGAGAAATTTCATGACAAAGCAATTAATTTGTTAGAAATAAGAGTTATGAATATGTGTATACTACATGATATGAGAAATTGAATTTTTATGTCTGATTTCAGTACAGAGCTCCTAAAACTCTAGTAAGTTTCCTGAGTAATAACAGCTCTTTTGTTTTGATGAAATGACTCTTGATGAGTTGCTGGATAGTTTCAGGATGGGAACCTGTTGTCAGAAAACTCAGTCCATGATTGGAAACTTGTGTAGCTCATGATTGGAAACTTGAACTGTCCAGCCTCATCTCCTACCCTGTAAAAAGGGAGAAAGGCTGGAGGTTGAAGTAATTATTAATCATGCTTACATTATGAAGTCTTCATAAAAATTTCTAAAATATGAAGTCAGAGAGTGCTGTAGTAGAGAAGGGGTTCCATTTCAACCTCACGGGGACAGATGCTCTGGTGCACAAGACCCTTCTGGACCTTGTCCTATGTGCCACTTCATTTGGTATTCATCTGAATCCTTTGTAATACCCTTTACAATAACCTGGTAAATGTGATTCCCTGAGTTTTGTGGCACTCCCAAGATTTCAGGAAACAACAAGAATGCATATATAGTTTTTTACCTTAGCTAATAGGTTGACACTTGTTTACTAACTTTTGGCACTAGAAATTAAAACCCAAGGGTACTCTACCACTGAGCTACACAAGCTACAACCCCAGCTGTGGGTTTCCAGGCTAAAGGATCAGCCATAGGGACTGTGACCTTGTTGACCTTTCTCAGGGAAGGAGGTAGCGGTGGAAGGCTGCTTGCTCCCTTGTGTTCAGGAATGCTGTCTCTTACAATACTCCCGGGGCAGGATATCAGTCCAGAAAATTACAAACCTGGGTGTAAAGCTGTTCTGTTCCTTGCTAATCACATACATGTTCTTGAACCCTGAAATGCATGTTGATACATTGCTTTGGTTTACTAATAAAATTGGGAATTTCTAGACTATCAGCTCTCTTGCCCTCTTGAGATGGGATCCCCCTGGTCCTTTTGCCTAGAAATTTGTTTCTTTCTCTTTTATTTCTGATCAGACTCCTTAGGACAGTTTTCAGGCTGGCTTCTACCTCCAGTAATTTTTTTTTGTCTTTTTCTTTTTTATCGGTACCAGGGTTCGAACTCACTACTGCCTGCTTGCAAGGCAGGCACTTATGCCACTGAGCTAAATCCCTAGCCCCTACCCCCAGTACTTTTTATTTTGAGACAATGTCTTGCTACATTGTCCAGGAGGGAATTAGACTTGTTATCCTCTTGCCTTAGGCTTCCTCAGTGCTGGGATTACAAGTGTGTACCTCTGTGCTTGACTACATATTTACTAATCTTAACAGTTTAATTAATGGTGTTTTTTTAATCAACATTACACAGCATTTTATTCGAGCCAGGACAGGAGCCTAAATATTTTAAGCTCAAATTCAGTGATATTTACATTATGACATATTGTCCTTTTTTTTTAGCCATACTAGTATGTTATACTACTATAAATTAGTATAAACTAGTATAAATTTATACTAGCCATACTACTATAAATGTTAGAAATAAAATACTGTGGTTTTTATTCCTGTATTTTTTTCTTTCTTTTTTTTTTTTTTTTGCAAACAGAATCAGAATGGAGTAATTCTGTAGACACTGACCTCGAGATGCTTTTGGAGCAGACATTTTAACCTCTCTCCCACTTTTATCCCTCATGTCATAACCTTCCTTGTTCCTATAAATGATCAGACTAAGGTTTTTGGAAAGATGTTGAAAGAAGCAATCATGAAATGGGGAGGGTCTTGATAGTGTAGGATGAGATCAGTGAAAAATTCTGAGATTCCCGCATTAAAGAATATACAGAGTGAAACTAAAAATGGGAGCCAATGCAGAAATAAAAGTAACTTATCTATGTAAAATAAGAATGTATTAGCAGATTTGTAATGTATTAGCTTATCATCCCTGAAAGGCTCCAATGGGAACTGACATTCCCAGCCCCCAGCCTGCTTGCCAGCAGAAACACTACTGTCTGCAGAGAATTCAAGTCAGCACCACAGGAGGCTGCCTTTGGCAAGCACAGGGTATTATGGAGGAGATAAGATGAAGAGGAAGAATTTTGCAGGTTCTCGGACATCTGGGGACATCTGGAGACACAGAGAACTTACACCTGACACTTCAAGGACTCTGCCCACTGAAATACATGACTGCCAGAGAATTCTTGACTACAGATGTTTATTGGGATCTTCCCACCTAAAGTCTCCTGCCTTCTGTCTATCCCTATAACTCTCTGTTCAGGGGCCAGATGGTCTTACCACACTCTGCCTGCCTGCACCCAGCCACAATACGTTTTATACCATGTTGCCTTTACTCAAGACTGATGGCCTCTACTGTTCTCCTCCTCATCCCTACATTACACACATTATAATTCATTCTTTCTTAAGAAAGTTTGGCCTATGGAATTCCACTTTTCTTAGTTGTTACCTTCCTAAGGATTCACACTGTCTTTTGATTGCTGGGACAAATTCTCTCCTATCCACAGATATTGATATGCACCTAGTCTTAATCTTTCCTTAATATTTTCTTTATCTCAAGTTCCATGTCCTTCAACCTTTTGCTTTGGCATACTCAGATTTTTTTTTTACAGTTCTGACAGCCTCTTTCTTGAATTAACATCTTGAATATCCAACTACTTCCATTTAGATGTTTAACAATTATTTAAAACTTCACATATACAAAGTTAAATTCTTGATTCCCTGCCCTCTTCCTCCTGTTCAACTGTCTTCTTCATGCCAATACATTTTTCAAGTGAGAAAATAGTAATAAACATTGATTCCATTCTTACAGAAATCCCTTTGCCATCCTCCTAGTGGCTGGAAAGTTTTTATTTGTAATCCCATGGAAATGTTATTGGAATCCTGACACGTTAACTCAGGTCTACCAGCTCCAGTGCAACCCATGGTGAGAGTAAAGACACTAAGACATATTTACAGTTATGGGCAGCCAAGGGGTCCTTAGTCCTGTTCAGATGAGAGTTCAGAGAACCAAGGTCTTCTCCCAGGGCCTCACCTAGAATTTATTAATTCATGAAGAAAGAAATGACTTGGGGATAAGTGATGGTGAGAATAGTAAAAATTATATGAGTAATGCGAACCAAGCTAGCTAGGAGGCTAGAAAGTGCCTCTACAATATGCAGAGAGAAGGATATACAGAAAGACCAAGCTGTACAACACAATTGAGCTACCATTTAACATTTAGGGAGCTGTTGCTTCAATTCTGATATGCAAGTCTTTTCTGCCTTGGGAAGACATAACCTCTTATCTTGAGGCTCAAACAGTTGACAGTTCTGGAGCTGTTGGCTCTGCCATCCCTCTGAGTTCAACCTTTTAGAGGGAGGCACTAAAAGGGAGGAAGCAGAGCTGTCACTTAGCATCAAAGATAACACGTCAGTACCTCAGCCAGCCCTATTTACATTGTTTACAGCCAATTGAAGGGAAAAAGAAATAACTTTACCAGCTTTGTACATATTAGTACCTGGAGATGAGGCCAGGCTTAGCTAAAGCAGAGATAATTGTTCTGTGTTCAAGGAGAGCCATCCAAATAGTCTTCTATATACCATTCTTACCCTAGGCAGTCTCATCTTGCCCTGTGAGCCCACAGCATCACTAGCCCTGGGACTTTCAGCTGTAACCAGAAGAAAGCAGTGAATTCTTTCATTCCAATCAGGCTCAAAGGGAAGTGCAAGGATGGCTGTGAATGTCTTATAAATTCAATTTATAATTTGTGGTCCCCTACAAAAGGGGATGTAGGACTCTGGTTTTCTTGTCTCTCTTTTCTTCTGACTCATGATGTGAGTATTTTGCTCCACCACATGCTCCCTGCCGTTGTCATCTGGTGTCCTCACCAAAAGCCCAAAGCCAGGAGTCATCCAATATTAGACTAGAAGAGTGATAACAGACTTGTCAGAGGTTCCAGTGATAACAAACAGCTATGTGGCACACATGCCATTGGTTTGCCACCACTCTAGGCCAGAGCCTCAAGAACTATTTAATTTTTTTGTCTTTATAAATTAATGGTTTCGAGCAGGGTATGGTGGTGATGACTGTAATTCCAGTACTCAGGAGGCTGAGGCAAGAGATCATTGCAAATTTGAAACCAGCCTGGGCTACAAAGTGAGCCCAAGGCCAGCCTGTACTGCATAATAAGACCCTGTCTCGAAAAGACAATTAATCAATTAATTGTTTCAAGTATTTTTTTACAGTATCATAGAGCTAAATTATACACTCTGCCTTAGAAAAATGCCTAAAACTTCTCATCACTTTCACCACTTTTAACACTGCTACCTGTCACCTGTACTACCCAAACAGCAACCTAACTAAACTCCTTGTTTCTATCTTGGCCCCCTGCAATCTATTCTTCATAGGCTGCTAAAGTGGTACCCGCCCCCCATATCCACATGGCTGTCTCTTCTTTAAGAACTACTCAGTGTCACCTATCAGATAGGGCCTGCGTGGCCTCTGCGAAGCAAAGCTTCTGAACTGTCACTCTTTATTCCCTTCCCCTGCATTATCCTTTTCCCATGGAGTCTACCACACTGAAACCTAAGAAGGGTCAAAGGTGAGAATTTGTCTTCTTTGTTCATTACCTTATCTTCAGGATAGAACAGCATTTTTTACACCTGTGGAATGAATGAATGAACAAATGTATGAGGGTCCTGAGTGGTAATAAAAACTGAGTGATTATAAACAATATCCAGCATTCCTTTCTTTATAATTAGAGAAGAAAATCTGGAGCATCAAAGGATGGGGTTTCTCAGGGTCTTGGGACTCTTTCCTCTGTTAAATTGGTACAGTAAAGAGTAAAATGTGTAGAAAAATTCAGAAACCTAGGGGATGGGACAAAATTTACAAAGAATAGAATGCCTGGGTATTTCTAGAGGGGAATTTGAATTTTTATAGAAGTGAGAAACTGTTGTTGCATATTTTAAACTGTAGTAGTAAAACAGAAAAGCCCCTTTTATTCTATTTTTATTTTTCCAATCTGCCCCATATAACATGTTCTCCTCACATGTTCATGGATACCAGCAATTCCCTTCCTGGTTCTTGATTCCCGCCCACATCTTGGGCACTGTGTTTCCGTTTCCAGTCCCACCTACTTGTTTCCCAAAGCCACAGCACCTGCCCTGCCCTATCAAAACTCTACACATTCGGATTCTGTACTTCCCTCCTGTAAAAAAGCCTGTAAAATTTCCAGCCCACCAGAGGGCAGGGCCTGGCTTTTTTTTTGTTGTTGTTGTTGTTGGGAGCGAGCCCTTCCAGTACCACCAGTGTAACATTAAGCTGTTGACTGTTTCCAAATCCTGGGTGCCCTTTTAGTGTTTCTGCTTGCTGTGGCAATAGTATTGCTGCAACCAATTTAAGCTTTAAAAATAGCGTATCAATAAACATCTGTTTTTCAATGCACATGCAGAGTATTATCTTGGTCTATTTTGTGCTGTTTTCACAGAATACCTAGGACATAGTAATTTGTTAAGAGCAGAAGTTTATTTCTCATGGTTCTAAAGGCCGGAAAGCCCAAAATGGAGAGGTCTACATCTGGAGAGAAACTTCTTGCTACATCATATCATTCGCTTTGGGAAGGGCTCACCTTTCAGCACTATTGCTCTGAGGACTCCGTTTGGAATGCATGAACTTGGGGGTCACACTGAAGCCAAAGCAAGCAAACAGCATCATATCAGAAATACAGCAGTCACCTCCTGGATGTCATTTTGCATTCAATTATCCTTTAAAATCTTCTTTTACAAAAAAAGTAAACATGCCATTAGAAGAGGAAATAAAGAGTGCTACATTTCAAGCTAAAACAGGAGCATTTAGATATCTTACTAATATATTTTAATCACTAGTCAAAATTCTAAATGTTACACAAGTAAATATTAATAACAAAAATACAGAAAGCACTCTTACTTCTATAAAAAAACTAAGATTTCATAATAAAATAGAGAATAACAATAGTACACTCTGTACATGATCTTTAGAATGACCAAAATGTAGCTCATAGTACAAATCATAGACAAGACTTAAAAAAAAGAAACTGATAATAACACAAAACTTTCTTAATAAATTAAGAGAAATAGTGTAAATAAAACAAATTAGTATGTATACACTAAAATACTTTTTAAACAACAGAATAGATAATCTAGGAAATTATATAAACTTCTCCCTAATTCCTACTTTGGTTTTCTATTTCACAAGCTTAAATATCACATAGTTTCTCTTATAGGAGCAACTCAAAGTTTATGTATATGTAAATAAGTAACCAAAATTTTGAATTTCTTGAATAAATATCCCTCTGACTCACTCTGAAATGTTTGTATTAGTGTTAAAGATTCCTTGGAATGCACATAACCTTTAATAATTTAATACTGGGGACTTCACGGAAACCAGCTATAGACCCAACGAGAGTGTCATTTCCTCAGTAAAACCCATGTGCACTAGCCCTGAAGCTGGAAGCACCTCTGTTTTTCTCTATGTGCCTTGCTTCCTCTCCCTTCCCCGCAGAGGTCTGGCCTGTGCGAATCACCAGGCACCACATAGCTATGAGTCTACATTGGGGTTTCCCGAAACTGCCCCCATTTCTTCAAGTCACTTCTGAGCGAGCCAAAGTGAGAGAATCATTACAGAACTCATACCTCTTTCTCTTTGTTGCCTTCAATTTCCATGCCTCCCTCTATCTCTCTGTCCTCCACCGCCTCCTAGTCCATCAGTTACTCTGGGCGAAAGGAGTTCTGGGAAAGAGTTACCTCTTTCTATATCCACAACAGTGTCCACAGCTTATGATAAGAACCCCAAAATCTGCCTCAGAGTCTGTAGGGGAGGCCCCTAGACTGCACCTTCCCCGCTCTTCATTTGGCATTAATGCACCTCATGTCACCCACTGTAAGGTGGGCTGAAAATAGAACTGAAAGATATATGACTGACCTTCTAAACTGTACAGTTTAGAGGAAGACACACATATAAAGCAGAAATGACACTGTAGTAGGGAAGGACCCTGATGTGTAAGGTCCAGGCAGATTTCAGAGCACAGATGAGTTCTAAGGTTGGCATCTGCCACTGTGTATGACTCAGAGTTCCTTCATGGGATTAAATGGCTTGCTTACTTCATGGGTTGTTGCAGGAGCTAAACTGTAGAGTGGAAATGGAAACACTTTGTAATACTGAAAACCAGTGCTGTCCGAATGACAAAGCACTCCAAGCAGCAATACAAGAGACGGTCCTGTTATGATTGTCCTGTGTGGGGATCTTAGAAGCTTCACTGAATCTGGGAGTTTATTCACCATGTCAGAATTGGTCCTAGCTCAGTGTTGCAGCTTCTGAAATGTATCAGTAGGATAAAGGATACGAGACCAGAGGAGACAGCACCAGCAGGACCTCCACTCACCCAACACAGACTAAAAGACTGAGAAGTAGTCTCTTCAGGCAGAGTGGACTTTAGCATCTCTCCCTGCTGATGTTACACTCCAGTATCTCAGAACAGTGCTCTTCACTGGGTCTAATTTCCATTTCTCCTCCTGTAATACATGGCCATTTCATACTTGGTTGTAGAAGAAAACAATTATGTCTTCTCTGAAATCTTTCAATCAGCTCCATTAAGATGGGGCAAAATGAAGGAATGACGAAGGAATGGAGTGGAAAGGGAGGAACGACAGCCCATATTCCTCCTTACCTCATGTACCGCCCCCTTTTTATCCCTCCTCTCAGCTCTACTCTCTGACTGATTCCTGCCCCCTCGCTCGCTCACTCTGGCTATGTAGCACAGAAGTAAGTAAGTACTCAGCTGCTTCAGCCTCGATGACTATACTTGAGGGCTGGTTTTGTTCCTTATACTTGTTAGGCCTTCGGTAATGTATTAAGCATTTTTTCATCCTTATGACAAGACACCTAAGCAAAGCAACTTAAAGAAGGAAATACTGTTTGGCGTGATGGCTCATGCCTGTAATCCCATCACGTGGGAGGCAGAAACAGGAAGATCACTGCGAGTTTGAGGCCAGATTTGGCTACAAAGTGAGTTCAAAACCTGCACAGTGAAACTCTGTCTCAAAAAAAAAAAAAAAAAAAGGAGAAGAAGAAGGAAGAGGAGGTAAAGGAGGAGGAGGAAATAGCTTATTTTGGCCCATAGTTTCAGAGGTTTCAGTCCATGGGTAGCTGGATTCATTGCTTTTAGGATCATCTTGGTGGTACGGCGTGGTGAACAAAAGTTGTTCACCTCGTGGCTGCCCAGAGTCTGTGTGGAGGGCTTCCTTTTTCTTCCACTTTTGTTGCATTCGGGCACCCAGTCTGTTAGACGGTGTCACCCAAATACAGGGTTGATCTCCCCCTCCCATCAGGTTGCTGTCACATACCAATCACCTCTGAAAACACCTTCACATGACATTTGGGAGTGTGCTTTACTGATCTCCCAGGTGCCTGTCAAGCCAATAGAGTTAGCAATCAAGAGTAACCATCATAAGCAAGTTGACTTTAAGGCTATGTACCTCAGTTTCCTCATCTGGGAAAGAGGTGTAATAGCAGTTCCTGGACATTAAGATTTCAGGTAATAAATGAAGTGATCCATGTAAAACATAACAAAAGGGACTACCTCCTAGTAAGGTTCCAGTCATATTAACTATTATTTTAATTAATTCATTTAAAACAGCTTCACACAACTTCCAAAAGGCCAGAGCCAATGCCAGTCTTCAGTAAACACAGTGGTGAACAGTGTGTCCAGATCATAACTCTCTTGCCCTCTCTTATTAGTATTGATGTCCCAGCTTCCTCCCACTGCAAAAAGAAAAAAAAAAAAGTCATTCTGGCTCCTTCAAGCAGACCACAAAACTCCATTACTTATCTCAGATATTCTGATTCTTTGCTGCCCTCTGCTGACATAGACGTCCCTGTGCCTTGAGCCCGGTGAGGGTGAGCATGAGTTAGGAAGGTTACAGGGGAACTGGCAGAGTGTGGGGTGACAGACACACAGATAATCTTCTACAAACAGTCTTATTTTCATGATATTCAAGGGTTGATACCAATTATAAACCTTTACATTATATTCCTAAAATGTAAGCAATTTTTCAGGTAGAGAGACAGAGAGAGAGATTAGTAGAATCTTAATATTTTGCTAGCTGTTTAGCAGTTGTGCAAATTAGTTTAAACAGATTTGCAAAGCCATTTGGAAGCTATTTTGTGGAAATTAAGAATGATTTTGATATAAACACAGGATTATGATGTTAAAGTCAGGCTATGTTGACATGTTAAGTCAAAAATGATATCAAATTGATACTAAAAATGGAAGAATGTTGGAGAGCTTACCACTACATGTCCCTGACAAGTTGTGACCAGCCTTGAGCTCATGTCAACTGGTAGGTGACAGCAACCTGATTGGAGGGGGAGATCATGGCTCAACTAGACAAATAAACACAGAACTACACATAGTGGAAACTCACTAAATGAACGTGCAGGTGTTGGAGTTAGTGAGTGTGCAGAAAAATCCAGTCTTACAAGAGTAATAAATCTTATGCACAGCATCCCCTCTGTGTGAACAGTTTTACATGAGCTCCTCCAGGGATGGGGAACCTATAACCTCTTGGACATAGCTGGCAGAACTGACTCTTCTGAAGGGCTTGCCTTCTAATCTTCCCCTCCTTTGAGCATGCACGTTCCTCTGATGCATCTAACTACCAGATCCCCTCTTTCTGTTTCTCCTATTCATGTTACATCTGCTCTGCAACCCACCTTTCTCATCCCCAAATCTGCCAATGAGGATGGAAGGTAGAGTAGGTTTCATGGCTCTAACGCAGTCATTGTGATCCGTGAATATACTTGATGTATTGTGCACCTCTTAGAGGTAGGACAGCTAACCTTGAACAGTGTTTGTTAACAGACATGATAATGTCTATGAGGTAGAACATTGTGTTTAGAAAGTCAAACCAAGAGTTGAAAATAGTACAAACTACTCCCAGAACTAAGGCACACGGTGTTGAGAAATTAACAGAAAAGGGAGATGACATGCTTCATGGGACACACAAAGAATTTACCTCCTGAAAGTATAACGGTATAGTCAAAATTAAAAGCAGTCCTACTGAAATAACAGGAGCGGTGGAGGATGACCAAGAGAATAGTGTAATGACTGTGGATGCAACTGACTCTTATGGTACACTGCCACTAGCACAGAAAACCTGAAAGCCGCAGCTTAGCCCCTGTGTCAGGAATCTCCACTCCTGATGATTGAGTGCTACTGTGATTCTGCAAGATTGCAAAGGGAAGACATTGATGGTATCAACTTCAGAAAAAAATCTTAGCAGGCTAGCCATCTGCTAGGTTGAGGGATAGTCCCCCAAGACTCCCCAACTTCTGACACTAATCTACAAGTGAAGGGATTTCCCAAAAACACAATTAATTCAGTAATTATCTAGAAGGATTCACAGAATTTACAGAAAGCTGATGTGGTTGTGGTTAGGGTTAATTAGAGAGAAAGGATCCCGAATGAAATCAAGAGAAGAGACAGCTAGGGTAGAGTTAAGATGGGTTCTCTGTCTGTGGAGTCATGGACCGTGTTAACTGCCCCTGGTAATGGCGTGATTATAAACATGGGGTACTGTCAACCAGGAAGCTCATCAAAGCTTTAGTGTCCAGAGTCAGTTTGGGTTCCATCTCATGAGTAGAGTTAACAGCCCATTATAACTGCTATGTTTTCAGGCCTTCAAAACGCTGAGTGGATACTGTGTGAAACAAAGCCTGCACCCTGAGTGGTAGGGTTGTGTGATGGTTACAAGTCTCCCTGGCCAACAAAAACACACCTATCAGATGGAACACTCCAAAGAATTACTGTTGATTCCTCAGAATCCAGGGGCAAAGGACATACCCATCTTGGAATGAGGTTAAATTGTTTACACAAGCTTTTTTAAAAGTCAGTACAATGTTTTCCCCAAAAGTGAAGCAAACTGAAGCAAAAGAGAGAAAAAGAGGGTCTCAGTCTGGTTAGTTTTGCAAACAAAATACAGGAAATTGAGTGACTTACGTATAATAGAAATTCATCTCTTACAGTCTGGCTGCAGGGATGGACAAGACCAAGGTGCTGGCAGATTCAGTGTCTGATGAAGCCCACTTCCTGAAAATGGATGGTGCCATCTCACTGTGTCCTCGCATAGTGAAAGGAGTGAGGATGGCTCAGGCCTCTTTCATAAGGACACTAGTCCTATTCATGAAGGTTTCACCCTCATGACTTAATCAACTTGAACTGGCCCCACTTCGTTTATGCCATCATTTTGCAGGTTCTGATTTCCCCAGAGATTAGGAGGAGACACAAATATTCAGACCAGAACATGGGAATCAGATTTCATTTCAGTTGTAGGAGTCCATGAATATATGAAATAGATGAAATCCTGGACAAGTGTTGGTGACTTGGAAAGGAGTCTTGTTTATTAGAGACCAAACTGTAAATTTACACAGTGAGGGAAGCGTCCAGACTCACTGTCCTATGAGGAGCAATATGTCCAAAACTTAGATGCTGGTGATCCCCATAATCAGAAGGCCAGACAGGGGAGTACCACCAGTGAAGGCCTAGAAGTTTTATTCTGTACTTCAAAACAAAATGATAAAGCAATTGATAATGTCCATAGGAGTGTATTATAACCTAATAATTCTATAACCACACCAATTTATTTTACACAAGGAAATAAATAACACACACACACACACACACACATATATATATGTATTATATATATATATATATTATATATATATATATATATATATAAAGTCATGTTGTCTTTGTAAAATAGTAGTTGTTAGGGCAATAACTAGACTGATATAACTATTGTATATTTTTTTCTGTACTACATATCAGAAAAACTTCTTCGTGAAAAACAAATTAAATATTAGATGAAGTAACAGAGAAAGAGCAAACCATTCAGGGGCTGGGTGTGAAAAGAGAAGGAGACATAGACGTAGTTAGGGGAAGTATCAGTAACAAGTGAGAACAGGAAATAGAATCCAAGAGGTACACAGGAAATGGAAAATGGAAACGTCATGAAATAGAAAGCAAGAGAACAAAAAGCTCTGTGGAAGGCATGGTTAATGGATCAAAAGCTGAGCAAGCCTGAGAGTTTGAGAGTTAAAATGGTGGTTGGATTTGGCACCAAACCATGGATTTGGTGGCTTAGAAAAGGCAGAAGATTGTTTATGCTGTGAGGGAAGTGAGGGTACTGAAATAGTGACTGTAGACACTTTTGTCAAAGACCCTTACTTGTAAGGGAAAGAAAGAGGAAGTAACTTGTCCACAAATGGCCCAAAGAGATCCTTCTTACAAGAGCATGCAGCTCTCTGCTTGTCCAGGAAGGATCTCAACATCTCACTGCAGAAAAACATGTCAGGATGCATCAGAGATAGAGGCACAGATAGATTTCTTAGGCACTACCAAAGGAATACACTCAGAGAGCAATCAGGAAGGTGCTGGAGGGGTGAGGCACACCATGGTCTGGGGTGGATCTTGGAATATCCTCAAGATATTTTGAGTTATTTATCATTTACCTACTCTCCCTTTCAGGTTTCCCATTAGTGAGCCAAAGAAAAATGGTTTTGTCAACTAGGTTACATGTATAAGCCGTTTATACATATTTGAAGCTTAGAAAGCTGTGCCCAATTAATAATATGGCTCCTTTGAGAACAGAAGTCTTTGGAATGTATGTATCTATTGCATCAGCAGAAAAACACAGGTCAAATTTATGGTTTCCTAGTATTTTTAAGACTTAACAATTTAGGAGCGAAGAGTACAGAGGAAAAGACAAGTAAATGACAGTAGGTCACCTCAGGGTACTCTGATTATATCTTCTTTTTTGCTGGTTTTTGATACCAAGGATTGAGCTCATGACCTTGTGCTTGCCCAAGCAGGCTCTTGTGCTGCTGAGTGAAATCCCTGGCCCCTATTTTGAAACTGGAAGTTGTTTTAAATAGTAGAGCTTCCTCAAATTATATTTCCTCAAAGCTACCATTTTCTCCTCTCCTTTCTACCCTACTCCAGACTCATAAAGGTTCTTGTTTTCATTTAAAAATGGGAATGAGCTGAGGATCTTTATGGCTTCCACCACAAACAGATACCACTCTTTTTTTCTTAAATGAGCAGAGGCTAAGTTAAATTGGCCTGCATGGATTTGCTTTCCACAGGGCAGGCAGATAACTGATTTTTATAACAGAAAGTCTCAGGGTGACAAGATCACAAGTGAGAACAGATGAGACACAATGGGCTTGGCGGGTGTATGCAAAGGTTTGCCGTCATCTGGGAAGATGGCGCAGGAAGCCGATCAGGACCAAATGAAAGAATTACAGTATCCCTGGAGAAGACACAGCTGAGGCTTGCTGTCTCACACCTAGACTGGTGACATTCCATAGAGGCGCTTCAGGTTCTCTCTCCTCCTTCTGCCTACACATTTCCTACTTAATCTTCCACAGTGTAGTTTTAGCTGCCAGTGGACAACTGGATTTCAAAGTTGAAATTGAAGGCTTCCCACAACCTACTAAGCAGCCAGCATGTTATAACAATATTTGGGTTTTGCATACCAACCTCAGTCCTTACTTGTTTTACAAACATGAATACACTGAGCCTTGGTGTTTCATCTGTGAAACTAAGACAATCAAGCCTACTTCTTACAGTCTGCATGAGGAATAAATAAGCTAATGTATGTCAAACCCCTTGTTCAAAGTTTGGTTGGAGTGCTTGTTTAACAGTAGCTCTTTTTCTCCAGCTTAACTAAATTCTGCAATTTTTCCTGAGTTCTCCTTATCCTTTTTGGAGTAACTACCAATATTCTTCTACAATTTGATTGTTCAGCATTCAGAACAGATTTTCCCTTAGCAAATGTTACAAATAGTGTTATACTATCTCCATCTGACTTCCTGTTATCAGACGTGCTAAGCAGAGCACGTATATACTTGGTACCAATGTGTTATCCTGTTTCTAATTCAGCAACATGCAATGGGCTGGAACTTGGGGACAAATTAATTCTAAATGATTTTCAGCTTCAACGAGTTTGAGGGAATGTATTCAAAGAATACTTTCATGGAACCAGTTACAAGATAGTCGCAATCTAACATCCATGCTTGGGAAAAGATTCTATTACATCTGGCCACATCCACAGGCTGATTATTCTCCAAAGGCAGCTTGGACTTTTGCTATGTTCCAGGTATTTTAATCAGGCAAAATAAGGTATAAAACATATATTTGTTCTTCTAGTTACAATAAAAAATTATTATAATAAATGTAAGTTGAATAAATAATCATATGTATATTTAAACATACAAGTGGTGATTAGATTGCCAGAACAGATGACAGGACTTGTTCAATCAGAACAGGAAAACTAGAGAACGAGCCAAGAAGAGAAAGAATTCCAAACCTCCCGGGGGGCTGAGTATCTTCTAAGCAAACACACTAAGGTCTAAACAACTCTGTGGCCACGTGGAAAAAAAAGACTCCTGGGGTACTTGCCTCAGTTTGGGTCAATTGTATCTTGACTGCAAAAGCACCCCCACAAACTGACAAAGCTCCGTCCAAGTCTAGGGATGTGGACCAATCCACTCTCAGTAAGCTACTTGTGCCCCAGGGGGAAGGGTTGCTACGATCTCCTTCCAGCGCACTGTATCATTTCAGGGAATTCACATCGCTATAAGGACGTGATGGATGCAAGTGTCCCAATCCAGTTCAACCCAATACACACTTGGTTCCGCTTTCCTTCTTAGCTCTCTTTCCTAGTTTTCTATGTGTTACCATTTTGGCAGGCACCCAATTGCACTGGCTCTACTGTGTTTTCTGAAAGGTCACCTCAGCCTCCTTCTTCCTTGAGCCAAGATAATGTTAGGTGTGACCTACTCACACTGGCACCCATTCTTCAAACTGGCATTCATTCTCTCATCTACTAATGTTTGACCACTGCTTCTGTCTCTTTAAGAAATGGCCCCACCAACAATTCTCCTTTTTTCTTTACTTTCTGCTCCATCCTCTCTGTCGAATGTTCTCTGGCCAATGCATTGGCTGAGCAACTCCACCTTAGAAATTCGCAGATCACTCCTGTGATCTGTGATAAAGCTGCTGCATCTTTCACCATTCCCATGGCTTCCTTGCCCTTACCTTAATCACCAGTGCTTTTGAACATATCCAGCTTTACTAAATATGCTTAGCAATAGCATTTTAAGCAACACACAAAGGTATTGTCAATAACAATATATAATGACCATAGAGTGCTCCTTCCATGAACTACCAAAAACCCAGTGATGTCTTTATCTGGTGCTCTGAACAGTGAATGGTAAGGTGGGGGTCCTCAACTGAGAGCAATTTCCTCCCCTCTCCCAGGGGACATTTGACAATATCTGGAGAGATTTTGTTAAAACTGCAACCAGAAATATGCCACTGGTACTTGATAGGTGGAGACTAACAGTCTCCAATGCACAGGACAGCAACTCATAACCAAGAATTAGCAATTATCCAGCTTGAAATGTCAGTTGTACTCAGTTTGAGAAACCCTAGAGTAAGGGTTGATATTTCCACTTGTTTATTGTATTTCACAAGCCAAATTGAATTTTGATGAACCAAAAAGCTGCAGAATTCTCACTCTTCAAAATCTAAAAAGAGAACCACGGCCCAAGTGCTGCTACCTCAATATTGTTACTAGAATTTAGGAGGGCACATTTGTGCTTAAGGGTGAAAAGAACATTTCGATAAAATTAAAGGGGCTAAGAGATGGAGGGAGAGAGGGAAGGGGGAGAGGGAGTAGAGGAGAAGGGAACTAAAAATCTTAACAATAAATGATGAAAACGAAAACTCCGCAGCAAGGTTCAACAGTAGATTCGAGCAGATGGAAAAAAAAATTAAAAGTTGAAGCCAGGCCAAATGAGTTTTTCTGTTTGTTTTGTTTGAGACAGGGTCTCACGATGCAGTTGACGCTGGCCTTGAACTCACTTTGCAGCCTAGGCTGGTCTTAAACTTGCAAGGACCTGCTTCAGCCTCTGGAGTGCTGGGATGACAGGCATGTGCTACCACGCCTAATGCCAATTGAGATCATAGTCTGAGAAGCAGGAAGAAAGACATGAAGAAAAATGAATAGAATTTAAGAGATCTCACTCTGGGAGACTGAGGCAGAAGGATCACAAGTTTGAGTCCTGCCTGGGCAACTTGGTGACTTAGAATTTATCTTAAAATAAATAAATGAATAGATAAATAAATCAATAAATATAAAAAAGACCAAGGATAACCCTGGGTTCAATTTAAAAAATAAAGAATTCCCCTAGCAGTAAGACATTTCTTTACAATGGCTAATAGTTGTTAACATCAAGGAATTCCTCCTTTCAAGAACCAAGAACGTAGAAAGGAAAGTTTTTCTTTTCCATTCATTTTTCAGATGCTCTGTGAGTGTCTGTATTAGTCACTTTTCTATTTCTGAGCCAAAATACTTGACATCTACAACTTAAAGGACAAAAGGTTTATTTTGAGTTATGGTTTCAGAAGTTTGAGTACATAGTCGGCTGGCCACACAGCAGAAACAGCATGGCAGAAAGGCCTGGGAGAGGAAAGCTTCTCACTTCATGGAAGCCACGAAACAGAGGAGAGGGAAAGAGCCAGAGAGCAAGGGGTCAATCCCAAAGGTCCCCGTGACACCCAGGCAGACCCAGAGGTGACCATTCTTAATCACCCAGGCATCTCTCAATCCAGTTGACAATGAAAATGAACCATCACTTTCCCCTTTCCCCCACAACATAAATAAAGTTTTCTCACAGATTTCAGAGAAAGTCAATTTAAAGAAACAATAAAATTTTAAACAACTCAGTTATAAAAGTATCAACCATCAAAATTGTACGTACCTCATGTAACATCTCTAACACCTTCAACCTCCAGTGCCTGGTCAGACTGTTTGGCATCTACATTTGTTTTAACAGGGTCATTTCACCTTTCTTGCCCCACCCCATTCTTTGATGGGGGGATATCTTTTCTCATTTCTTTCCAGGAAGTATTTTGGGCTTGGTTTCTAGCTTTGTGTTAAGGGGTTTATTAGGTAAGCTGTGGTCTTTTTCTCTAGTCTGTCTTGGTTTTCACTTTGGGCACCCCACAGTGGTATCCCCCCATAAGCACTTGATGGCTTTGACGAGCCCAGTTCAGAGTTGCTCTTTCTTCTTCTTCAAACTGTTCACCATACTTTTTAAACATTTGACTTTTGTTCTACTTCATTTCTTATTTTTTGAACCAATGCAAATTAATGTTTCTTGCATAATTTATTCAAAATGGATGATTTATTAACACCAAGGAAACTTGGTTCCTTTTCAATACGTACTAACAGATGAGAATAGGAATACAGGCTTCTTGTAAAAACTCAAATAAGAGCTGGGTATTGTGATGCACATCTGTAACGCCAGCACTCAGGGGGCTGAAACAGGAGGACCCCACAAGTTTGAGGCTACCCTGGCATACACAGTGAGTCTGAACTACATCATGAGATTCTGTCTCAAACAATACAAAACAAAACAGTAAAAATAAAATTTAAAAGCTTTACTCAAGCTTGTGCAGTGTTGCATGCCTGTAATCCTAGTTACTTAGGAGCCTGAAGCAAGGGGATCATAAAGTTTGATGCCTGTCTGGACAGTTTAGCAACTTGGCAAAACTTTGTCTCAAAACTGAAAATTATCACTTCCAGGAAAATGACAGAGCAGTGAGCAGCAGAGAAAGAACCTCTCCAAGTTTTAGTGTCTAAACCCTGGAATACAGTAACAAGAGAAAGAGGAGGAGAAGAGAAGTGGGTCCCATTGACACAGGAAGGCTCTGAACTGAGACTTGAAGCCTATAAAGAGAGATAATTCAGGAATTCAGCAAAAATAAAAACACCAGGGGTGGTGGACTTGCCAGACAGAGAGAAGCGGCAAAGAAGGGATGCGACCCTTACCCGTGTGCACTGACAGAAGTCCTGCCGGGAAGAAGCAACAAAGAAGGAATGTGCCCCCACTCCAGTGTGCTGGCCGAGGTCCTGCCAGCCCCCACGGAGAATCAGCAAGGAAGCAATGCAGCTCCCATCCACTGTGCACTGGCAGAGGCCGTACCAGCTGGGGAAGCAGCAAGGAAGCCGAGCAGCCTTCCTGTAGGGTAGAAGAGGCCCTGTCCGCTGGCAGAAACAGCAAAGAAGCCACCACTACCTCCCACCCCCACACACACTGTAAGCAACTGGACATGACACAGCTGACATGATAATAACTGAAGTACTGACATTTATGTTGTTTGATTGACTTTGCAAGCCTGGGACCAGTGATCTGGGTAAATGTTTAGAGGATGACAATATGTAACATAGTAATGATTGTGGATTTTCTACTCTCTCTATTATTGTTTTGTTTTGTTTCATTTTACTGTTGTGTTTTACTCCCTTTAAAATTAAAAAAAACAGAAAAATAAAAAAAAAAAGAGCTGGTGGTATAAATTAGGAGTGGAATACTCCTGGGTTTGATCTGCACACAATAGAATTAAATTAAATTAAATTAAATTAAATTTTAAAGGGCTTCATTCAAATTCTTCAGCACCTATTTCCTAATTTCATAAAAATTCTTTCATATCTATTTATGTGCATATTAAATAAAACTTTCCCCACATGCACACTTTTAGCAAAAATAGGAGTCCATCACATATATTTATCTACAATTTTTCCTCAGCCATCTATTTTAGATGTTCTTTTAAAAGAGTCAAAAGTTCTTTTAAGATTTAAAAAGAACCTAAAATATATCAAAATCAATAATCTGTTTTGTCTCAGTCTGTAACACAGCTCCATATTTCTCCACAGTAGTTCACATAGTAATTTATTCAGCCAAATTTCTATTGATTGGTATATGTCAGTTATTTCCAACTGCTTTCATTATAAGTCATGTTGCATTGACGGTTACATGTACAGTGTTACATTTGTACAAGAATATTCTGATTGTACAAGTCATCCTTGTAATTGTACAAGTAGGTGATAATTAACTGCGATGTCAACTTAAATAAGAAACACCTAGCGGATTGGTTTAATACAGTTCTGGTTGTGTGGATGATTGACTTACAAAAGACAGAAGACCCACCCTGGGTGTGAGTGGCACCAACCAACAAGTCTGTAGCATGGATGGAATATAAAGGGGAAGAAGAAGGAAGTCTTGCCTCGTTTCTTGGGAGGGGCTCTAGCCTTCACCATCGTGTGAGAACATGCATCGCCAGGCTTTCAGCACATACTCTCCACTTCCTAATGTGGACTCACACAAGACTCTGCAGTGAGCTCCAGATTTTGACTTTTTATTGCCTCCTTCAACTCCCCAATCTACAGATGGCCCTTTCTTCCACCCTTGACTCTGCAGGCAGCCATTGTAGGCCCACCTTGTAATGATCTTTCTCTTTCTCTATCTATAGCGAGAGATAAATCATATGTATCTGTTCTTCTAGCAACCCTGATACACAATATGCAGATTTTTATAAATAAAACACAGTGTCAAATATATCATACAGTTACAAATTTTTAGGAGGAACGCTACATTTCCCTCCAAGATGACTGCATCGATTTATACTGCCATTAATAGTGTATGTGGTTGGTTCTTACCTTTTGGTCATCATTGAGATCTATCAGCTAAATTATTTTTTCCAATTTGATGGACAATATAATCATTTTGTTTAATTTGCATTTCTGATTTCTACTTTGAGTGAACATTTTTTTCATACATTTCCTAGGTATTTTGTTATTCTTGCCCTATACATTAACTGTATATGTTGCAATGAACAGATTTTCATGGCCTTTTCCTATGCCCTTTTTGCAACATTTGATATTGTTAACATTTCCATTCTTCAAGTTCTCTTATTTCCTCTTGACTTCCTTCAGAATATTCTAGTTTTCTTCCTACTTTTCAAGGAAATCTCTGTCAGTTTCACTTGCACATGATTCTTCCTTTGCTCTTGCTTAAAAGTTGTTATTACCAGGGGATTTCCCTCTGAATCTCATTTTGCTTCATGTGGTTTTTCTAAATGAAACCTTTCTGGAACACGTACATGACACTGATAGAAAAGAAGGGCCAAACATTCCCCAAAAGCTGTGTTTTATTTTATTTTATTCTCCATGGTTGTTCCAAATACGTTTCATCTGGCTACAATCATGTCACACGCTAAGAACTTGCTAAGAAACATTTGCTTTGGTTGCAGTAAGCTTTGGTCGCAAGTCCATCTCAGATGACTCTGCCCTGTATTCTCTCTGAATGACTCAGTCACCCTACAGCCATCTTCAGTGAGGTCCTCCAGGGGCATTTTCTATTCATGACAAACAGGAAGTCTGAAACTATGCATATGTGAGCTATGCTTTTTTCTCTCACATAGGACAAAGCAACTTCCCCCATCCCCTTTGTGGGTTGGTGCACGTATTTTGCCTCTTCTGCTGCAGCATAAGTCCTAATAAAGCCTCTGAAAAGTGCCATATTTTTGCCTAGTCATTATTTCTATCTCCATATGATCAGGTTAAGCTAGTAATACTAAGGGTTGGTAGCATCAAGATTGATAATGCAGGAAGTGGTTAGCAGCTAGGACTGGTGACATGAAAGGTGGCTAGCATCCAACGATGGACAGCAATGGGTAGTTGTTGGGAGCTGTCATTTCTGGTCACCAGGAAGAGTCCCTAAGCACAGCTGGTGGTTGCTGCTGTTAGCTGCAAGTATAGTGGTGAAGGATTACTAACACTTTTTTTTAAGGTTTTTTTTTATTTAAGAGGAAAAAGAGAAAAACACAAAACAAAACAAAGCGGTGTAAGGGTACACATAATACAGAACTACAAAAAAAAAAAAAAAACATAACAGTAAGAAATCACCTGTTAGTAGATTACATATTATCATCTTGAAAATAGTTGCTCAAATCACAGTATCAAAGAATACAAGGTGGACATTCAAACAGGGAGACTGCAAACAGCTGTGTTCAATGATCCAAAAACATTGATATAGTCAGCTATTTAACACCCCTAAACACACTTGCTGTTATATCCGTTAGAGCTCTTTTTCTTTTTTTTTTTTTCTTTTTTTTTCCCTCTCTTTTTTACAACAAAATTTACACATTTTGGATTTTATTACTCCTTAGTGCTTATTACTTTTTTGGGGGGGGGGGGAGAGAATACAGTCAAATATGGCAAAACAAAGCTGTCAGTCAAAACCAAGGATAGACATAGCACATGGTGTAGAACAGAGTACAAGGTTATCAACAATGGTTATCAACGTTGTCTCGTTTCCTTAAAAAGAATTGTCTATCTCATTAGATATTATAAAGTTGGACAAAACAGTAGAGAACAAGACCAATAAAACTTAGGCATTGTAAACATTACAGGACTTCCAAAGAAGACAATAGTCAAACCAGAATGGGTATCTTAGTGAATCTTATTGCCTTCAAAGTAGTTGCCTATGTCTTCAAACTTGATACTATCATATAGAATGGAACAGAGTCTAATCAGTCAAAACAAGATCGTGGGAGTATTACAGGACTTCAAAACAAGTTAATAGGAAATCAAAAAGAGTTACTATTTATATATCCTAATTTTTTAAATTTTTTCTTTAATTAAGACAAACATAAGAAATGACTAAATAATTTTTTTAAAAGAATAAGGGGGAGATTGAGATAAAACAGGACATAACACTTAAGAGCTGATAGCACCCAACATTATGAGCTCAGAGCTGTTAATCATAAAGAGCTACACATTGCCTATTTGTGACATATGCCCAAATTCATCCTCAACCAGTTGGTATCAGTGTGCCTTCAACCATAATTTGTACACTAGTTATTCATATATCTGGTGCATAATTCCGATGTTTCTCTTGAACTGCAGACATGTACATCTACATGTATTAATTGTGACACACAAAATGGAATTTATCCTCTCTCATGTCTTAATATGTTCTCTTTTCAACTGATGTGATCACCCAATCCAGGAAGCTGCCTCTTTTTCCTGGTCATTCTACCCTTATATACCACCAGGTATCAAGTTTTGCCCCTTCCTGACATATATCACTCCTGCCTCCGTGAAGTCTTTCATGGCTTAGCTGGTTTTCTTCCAGTAGATTTATATCACTTTGCTTCTATTCTCTTCCTACTCTTCATCAGTGTATTATTTCTAATTTCTGAGTTAAAATATATCATTTATCTACTCATACCCCTCAGTTATCTCCCTTACAAGCCTTCAGGATCAAGTCTAGGCTGTTATTCATGTACAGTGACACCTTAGCAATCTGAACCTGGTTTTCTTTTCTTTTAAAAATTTTTTTATTATTTTGAATAATAGTGAAATACAACAGAACAAGACAGAACAAAGCCAACTGAAACAGTGCAGTGAAATTGGTACATAACATCACAGCAGGTTACCCAGATAACAGTAATAGGTATTGTAGTATATCTCATTATCTTCACAATAGTTGTTCTTTCAATCAGATATAGCAGAATCAAATGAAATACAGAACATTATAGAACTTATCAAAACAATATTAAATAGAACAATGCAAATATTCAGAACAAAGCAAAACAGTGATAAACAGTATTTGCCTTCAAAGAGATGGTAAAAGGAAATTTCCCCTATTTGCTATATTGTATGTGGTCAGTCTCACAAGAGATGCTCAGATTTCTGGCTCCCATTTGCTAGTGGGGGGTGGGATGTTGGATTCTCAGCCTGCGCACCGGTAGGCTCACAGCTGCTTACCAGGGAGGCGAGCAGGTTGCTTGGTTTCCCAGTGCCTTAAGTGCCAACATGGTGTGGATCTCAGGAGATACTGGATGGTTCTCTCCCTGGGGTGGCTGCAGCTTGCCAGAGCCACGGCTGCTTACCAGGGAGGCAAGCTGATTGCTTTGTTTCCCAGCATCCTAAGTTTCTTTCTTTCTTTCTTTCTTTCTTTCTTTCTTTCTTTCTTTCTTTCTTTCTTTCTTTTTCTTTCTTTCTTTCCTTCTTTCCTTCCTTCCTTCATTTTGTAGGAAAAAAACTTCCTAACAAAATAATAGGAAAATAACAATAGTTAATACATTACATATTGTATCTTTAAAGTAGTTGTTCAGGCTACAAGATATGGGGATAAAAATTTCCCCAATCTATATTAGCACAAACTTTCCTTTTTAATGAACTTAGAGACACTAGTAGTATAAATAAGTTGTATTTTTTGCTTTTTTTCTACTGTCCTTTCCCCTTTGACCCACCCCAGTTCCCTTTTCCATTTGAAGAGTTCCTTCTCATTTCACAATATCCACTGTACATTTTAGACCTTATTTACTGTTTCAACTATTCTCACCAGGAAAACAATACAATGTTTACATGTATGAGACTGATTTATTTCACTTATGAGTATGGTCTCAAGTAGCAACCATTTATCTATTAAAGGCTCAAGTTTATTCTTCTTTATGGGCAAGTAGCGCTCCATAATATAAAAATACTACATCCTTTCATTCCTGTGTTGATGGGCATTTGGGTTGTTTCCAAGATTTAGTTACTATAGATTGTGCTGCTATAAACATGGGTGTACATATAACACCATGGTATGTTTTTAATTCTTCTGGGAAGATACCCAGAAGAATATCTGGATGGAATGGGACCTCTAGTTTTCTGAGGAATCTCCAAATGGATTTCCACAGTGGTTGCACCAGTCTGCACTCCCACCAACAGTGGAGAAGTGTTCCTTCTTCCCCAAAGCCCTTCCAGCATTTGTCATTGGATGATTTTTTGATGACAGCCATTCTTTTTAGGGTGGGATGGAATCTCAGTGTTTGAACCTGGTTTTTTATATGGCACTTATTTCAGTCACACTAAAATATCCTCATTTTTTGGAACTAGAGAAGTTCTTTTACTTCTCGGATTTTATACACATTCATCCTATATTATGTATTTCCTTTTTTTTCAAGGGGCCACACCTATTTGCTTATCTCCCAGCAGCCTGCTGTGATCAGTTTGTAGTAGATGTCCTTTCCGTGTGAACCAAGATCCTCATTTCTCTGTTGCAACTAACTTCTCTGTTTCCTCCATGAGTTGCATGACAGCAGGATTGTGGGTTTCATTTCTGCATCTTCAGATGCAGCTTAAGAAATCTTCAACAGGTTGACAGGAAGGGAGGCAGGAAGGACAGAGAAGAGGAAAAGAGTGCCTCACTCCTGTCTCCTCTACAATGGTTTTCATTAGGATCAGAATTGCTAAAAACCATATAGTAACTAAACACTATTGACACAGTTTTGCTAGTTTAGATGCAGTTTTGAAATGCTTTCTTTTGTTTTCTGAGACACCAATTTCTCTTAGATTTCTTTCTATTCACCTGACCCATTTCATTTTCCTCTTCAGGATTCATTTGTTCTGGTCTCCTTTAAAATGTCAGGCTACCTTCAGAACACTGTCCAGGGTCCCCTTGTTTAGTCTCTGTGGAAGAGGCCACCAAGTGAAGCCCACTTGGGAACCTGAAGCATTATACTACCCTCTACTGGAGCTAATAGGAATCTGGATGACAACAATAGTGCACCTAGTTTTAGCAAAGACTTCCACAAAACACCAAGAAGCATCCCTTTGGAAGCCTTCAGACAGAAATCTGAGTTCTTTAACCTGCTTCTCTCTGCCCTCTATGAGAATCTTTTAGAGAAGAGTGCTCACACTGCAACCAAAAATGCACTTATTTATCACAAGGAGCCAACACTGCAATTAAACCTGAATACTGAGGTCTTCATTTAAAAAAATCAACTTACATATTGACATTTTTGTCTTAAAAGAAAAACAAACATGTGTGCCATAGGTTCACTACCACTGCTCTAGACTCTGGAGCCCAGAATGAGCATCCTATTTAGGAGACACTGTATTCTTTTCTTTGCTCCCATTGTTTTGAGCAAAATTTATTGGAATGATTTGGCCTTCTGCAACTGTTCTTCATTTAGCAATCTGTGAGATTCGTAGGTTACTTAACTTACCAATTACCTCTGTCTTCTCCTGTGCTTGGCTCAATACCAAACTCCTCCTTGAACATTTTTATGCTATCCAGGGCTCCATCTTCTCCACATCTCTAATTTCAGGTTGGTTTGAGTCTATCCTATTGTTTCCTGTGTGTTCACCATTTCTGGAGGCACACTACAAACTCTTTGATGTCTGGGACCTTGGCAGCCCTAGAGGCTGTGCACACAGTAGTTAGGCATGCCAGCTTTAGTATCAGACAGATGTGGGTTTGAATTTTGATTCTGACTCTAATTACACTTGACTTCTCTGAACCTCTGTTTTGCTCTAAAATGGAAATAGTGTTTATACATGTGTTCATGGGATGCTGGAAGTTAAATGAGATAATATAGATTTTTTAAAATCCAGGCAAATATCTGATTAGAGAAAAGCTCTGTGATTGTAATCACCTTGCTTAAGTCAGGAAGACAGTAGAGTGCCCACCAGGTCAGTACTTGGAGGAGACTAGATTTTAATTCATGTAATACTCGTTGATTTGTACATCTCCACTTCTGAGGTCTCTATAACTCTGCCTCCAGGGACTTTCACTACCAGGATTTTACCAGCTGATTTACTCACTGCAAGGGTGAGGGAACATCCTGATCCTTTACCTGCTGCTTCATCCAGACTTGTCTTGCATCTGTTCAGATGTCTAAAAGCCTCAGAAAGGGTGCTCAGTTTACCAGTGCCACTGCTGCTCTCAGGAAGCATCCTTGCATTAAGTTTACAGTCCATTCGTTTAACCACAGCACATGGACATCAACTCACCTCACCTATGCAGACCTGTCAGAACTACAAGGGGAGGCATGGGTGAGTGTGCAGGATTCCTGGAGACACAGGGTGGAAAACTGGCCTGAACAAGGCCTCCTTCTAGCCTCTCTCCCCTTTGCAATGAGGTTTGATTCACTGAGGTGACTTCTAAACTGCTTCTAGATGACTGCAGATCTTTCAGCCCCACTTACCTTCTGCTCTTGAAAACTCAATACTGCTCCCCCCCCCCACTCTTCCTGAGAAGACTGTGGAGATGGGCGGGGAAATAGTTTCTCAGAGGCTGTGGGCTTCACTTCCTTCCTTTACCTTGTCCTTCTCGCTTGACCCAACCTCGTCCTCGGTTCCTTTTCACAGTTTGCCTTCAACTCTTTTCTCGGTATCTCCTCTGCAACCGTGCTCCTTTGCTTCTGCTTCTGCGCCCCAACCCCCTAGTCCCAAGATTTGCTGGCACCCACACTACGGGAAGAACCGCAGACAGGACTGCCAAGCAGAAGTGTGTCCTTGCGCACGCACGTCTGGCGGTGAGTTTTAATGGTACGTCTCCTGCTTACCTCACAGGGCTGCAGGGTGCCTGGAAGTGTGGGGTGTCTCACTTAATGTCAGGTACTGAGTTGATCCAGTTTCCCTCTGTTGATCCTTCAGGAAAAGTGATTGTTTTCATCACAGATTGAAAATAGAAGTCAATTTACTGGTCACCTCCATTTTGAGAATCAGAAATGTTCCCCAGTTTTGAAATGGCTACAGATATGTTGTATTATGGATTGTTCTTTGGTCCCCCAAAATGTTCTTGTCGGAAAATAATGTGTAGATTGCATGAATTGGAATGAAGAATGGGCCCATAATTTCTATGGCCACAAGGGTATATGGAATCCATTCAAGGGTAGGGAATAAATGGTGAATTTATTATAAAAGAAGAGGAAGTGGAGGTGGGAGGTGTGGCCTTAAGGCTGTATGAATCTGATTTCCCAGATTTTCTGGTCTGAATGAGATCTACCCATGCCTGGACAGGCATCAGCTTCAAGCCTCTGAATTAATCAAAGTGATTCTTACCTGGGAAGCAAAGTGATATTTTCTTTACCTGGAAATATCTGATCATCAACCTCTGTGACTAACGTAGGTCTATGATCCTATGAGAATCCAGTGGAAGTTGTAGATCTTCTCCTTATATTTACCAAAAAAAAAAAAAAAAAAAAAAAAAACACAACCCCAAAATTGTTCTGTTACCATGGTGCTCTCAGACAAAAAACTGTAAGACTTCCTGTTTCTGGACTCTTCCCCCGCCCCTCCACAAGGGTGCTAGATGTAAAGCAAAGTTCATTAGGTATTTTCCTCTAACCTTACTCATGAGTTCCCCTTTTGTCTTTGGGACCTTCTAGCTGGTTTTTCGCCTGTCTCTAGCGTCCCTCGGAAGCTCTGGGAAGTAGTATGTGCTCCAGAAGATGGGAATGGTGTTCAGCTGTGGAACTGCTGCTGCTGCCTCTCCTAGTGGCTGGCATTTCAGGTACTTTCCACCCATTGTCCGTGTGTGACGGGACACAGAAGGCATGGTCAGACGGAAAAGGGGACCTGGGAAAAGGGGACCTGGGTCTGCTCTCCTGTTCTGGTAGTGGGGCTGATAAAGCTAGGGAGTCTTCCTTAGACTGGAGAATCCGGATGTAACAGGATCTGGGGAGATGGGGAAGTAGCTGGTGACATGGGCAATAAAATAATCTCTACGTTTTTAATATTAGCTGGGGAGAAAAGGATAGTGCTGGTATTTACTTTTATTGGGTGCTGTTTTTAGTTTTCAGGGCAGTACTTCATGATTGTCCAGTACATGCTGGGTAGAAGTGTGTGGTCAAAGAAATTGGGTGCTGGGAACCTTAGCTTTCTTGTCGCTACAGGAAGTTTTTGTTTTGTGACTGCTGGTTTGTGACACTGTAATAAGTATTTTTGCATCTGAAATATAAGGAATGTCTACACTGGTAGTTGCCACATTTTATGCTCAGATATGTGTTCCCGTAGGTGTGCTGGACACCTCTTCATGTGCAAGGAGTCCCATCCTGAGTCAAGGTAAAAGATACAGTCATTACCCCAGAAATAGGTAAAAATTGTAGGAAAGAAAACTTGGAAAGCATTGCCTATCTTGGGTCTCTGAATCATGTCTTCAGTATCAAAGAAATCCAGAAATGTCTCATTGCTAAACATTGAGATCCATTTGTGTGCCACAAGCCTCTTCTGGTTCCCCGCATGTGCTGAGATACAGAGCCACTCTTTTTCCCTGTTACAGATGCCTAATATTCTTTATTCATCCAGTAATTATGCATCTTTCCAAGCCAGATGAAAATTGTCACAGTTTTTAAATTTTTGCCTTCCTTGCTATCCCCCTAAATAAATTATTGGTTTACCTTCATTTAAAGGGTTTCAATGCTCAACATGGTGAAGTTTCACAGCATCATTTATGATGATATGTGACTTTAGTAATCTTTGGAGGAAACCTGATTAAATACTCATACAAAGCTTCTGAGGATGGTAGTTGTTTAGAGATTGTCTGGTTCCGTGTTGGTCTACCACATTGTTCTCAGGGCCCTTTGTAAATATATGGGCTTTGTGGGGGCTGACTTCACTCACCGGAAGTTGGTGTGGCCTTTGGGAGTGAGTGTTGATGTAAAGTATTAATCCAACTGCTAGAAAATTACAGCTACCAGGAGACTAGACTATTTCAAGACTTTTTCTAGATATGTCAAAAATATCTTGATAATTCGCCATTCTCTGATTTTTCCTTTTGGGGGCTTTCATTCTGGTCATTTATTTGCCTTTGGTTGAAACAGGCGGATGATACCTAATCACAGAAGAATCTAGACACCTTGGCCTTTATCAAGGTTCCCCAGGCTTCTAGTCTCAGTCTGACTTTGTCCTATTAATCTCCTTCTGCTTAACCCTAAATTTACTGTTTGCCTTGAAAGAAGCATCTTCCATCTTACCCCCAGGCTGTGCATGTCCTTCTGCAATCGCACATGTCTCAACCTGTGTTGCTCTTCATGCCCGTTCCCTTCATGGCTCCTTGCACCCCATCCACTCTGGCCTTCTTGTCACTGTTTGAATACAGCAGACACAGCCCATCCAGGGCCTTTCTTCCAGCTCTTCAGTCACTAACTTCAGATATCTGCTTGGCTTTTTCTCTCTTCCTTCACATCTTTGCTCAGATAGGTCCTCCTCATCACCTTGTAAATGATGCCGACTCCTCCAACCTCTTCCTCTTACTCTATTCTAGGCCTTTTCTTCGTCATAGGAAGTATCGATTCCTAATGAAAAGGCAGTAGTGTCCTTTGAAACCATAGCACTAGTTTTGTTTAGGTTACCATCTCTTTTTATAATTTAGAGGAATAGCATAAAAACCATTAACTATATATCTGGTATTATGTTGTACATTTCATTAAAATTTGATGAGAAATTTTGAGGTGATGATTTTATCTGCATTTTTCAGATAAGAACATTATCTTTCAGAGAGACTAGGAAATATAACTAAGAGTACTCAAGCCTGCTTCCAGACAGTGTCAATAAATTTATGGTTTCCTGAGACTAAGCCCAAGTGTCTTGATAAAGACCAATGTGTGCAAACCCCTTGTGTACAAATGATGCCAAAGGTGGTTACCTGATCCTCGACCTATTACTTTGCTCCTATTAAGTATATTCTGGCTAAATTTAATTTTGTTGTTTGCCTTGAAAGAAGTATCATTTCTCTCAGCTCTAGGTCTGTGAACGTGTCTTTTTTTTTTTTTCTACCTGGAACTCTCTTTACCCTATGCACTTTATGCCTTCCCTTTTGGCTTCGTTTTGCATGTGTCTTTCTTCTGGAAGCCCAAATGTTGTAGTTCAGGTCTCAGATGTTCTCCAAAAAGTCTCTTGTGTTTGGGAGGCATTTGCATCCTGAAGGAGCTATGCTCACCAGTCAGTTTGGGTTTATGCACATGACTTCCTTTCTGCTAAGCTGAGTGTGATGTTAAAAGGTGAAACTCAAGCCTCTGAGGGTGTGACCTGGGAAAGTATATTTTTGTTCTCACTCTTCCCTTCCCACTCTACTTTCTGGCTGCCTTGGGTTGCACAGCTTTTTCTCTGCCATGCTTCTCTGTCTTCTTGCCATCTTGTTTCTGCCTTGGATCCAGCCAACAATGGACTGAAACTATGAACCAAGACACGTTTTTCTTCCTTTAACTTGCAGGTATCAGGCATTTTGTTCCAGTGACTGGAACATGGCTAATACACTGAGGCTCCCAACTATGGCTTGCATATTTTTTGACTCAGTTTCTTTGAGCTCTGTGAGTACAGGAACCATGTTCAGCTTTATGCTGCTGAAGTTAGCCAGTGCCTGCAACACAGCATGTGCTCAATAAATAGCTGATAGATAAATGAATGAGTCAATTCAAACAATTTCCTTTTGAACTATACATTCATGTCTTCCTGGGGATACAAGTCTTTTTCTCCTCCATGGTGAGCCAGGCTTTTGTGGAAGAATTTAAGAAGTTTGCTCAGATTTCCTCTGTCCATGCTCCTCAGACTTGATTTTCTCAGCTCTGATTTCAAGGCCATGATTCAGGGTGTCCACCACTTATAGGTATTTTCTGCTTCCCGCAGTATTTTTCAGATGAGAACATCATCTTTCAGAGAGACTAGGAAACTCAACTAAGAGTACTCGAGCCTGCTTCCAGACAGTGTCAATAAAAGACAGAGCATTATACTGGGCATCAGAAGAACTATGTTCTACCCGGGTTCCACAGTGTGAGATGTTTTTATAAACTGCAAAACCTTTGAGAGTCTCAGCTTTCTTGAACCTATTTTGGAATAATCATTTCTTCAAAAGGTTTTTATCAGGACAAAATGAAATAAAGAATGTGAAATTGCAAGCGGGACACACACACAAAATCTGGTACAGATAAAAGCATACAGTGAGCATAAACACTGAGCCCACCCTATCAGCATTCCAGGCGAGGGGACAAAACCCCCTCAGCTGATGGAGGAGTGTCAAAAATTGGCAGACCTTGGTTTTGACTGACAGCTTTGTTTTGCCATATTTGACTTGATTCTCTTCCAAAAAAAGGAGTAATAAAACCCAAAATGTGTAAATTTTGTTGTAAAAAATAGAGGGGAAAAAGTGCTTTAAAGGATACAATTGCAAGTGTGTTTAGGGGTGTTAAATAGCTGACCATATTAATGTTTTTGGTTGGATCATTGAACACAACTGTTTGCAGTCTCTCTGTTTGAATGTTCACTTTGTATGCTTTGATACTGTGACTTGAGCAACTATCTCTAAGATGATAATGTGTAATCTATTAACTGGTGATTTCTTACTTTTTTTTTTTTGTAGTTCTGTATTACTTGTACCCTTACACCGCTTTGTTTTGTTTTTTCTCTTTTTCCTTTTAAATAAATTTTTTTTAAAAAATTGGCAGACTTTAAAACTCTTTTATAAACTTTTCTCTCCCCCAACCTCCTGTTCTTCTACTGTTTCCTGCCTCAAGACACAGCATCTCCATTTGTGTAATTGCTCAAGATTCCAGGAGTTTTTAATTATTTGTCTCTCACATCCAAAGAATAAATGTATTAATTCCATATTTGAAAGTACCTCTGCACTCTGTCCGGTTCCATCCATCCCACTGCTATGTATCCTAGTCCAAGCTAAAATTTTCTGTTATCACCCATCCTAATCACTCTTCTTCTCCACTCTTTTGCACAATGCCATTAGTAGTATAATTCCTCAAACAATTGCTTGCCTATTGTATTCTTGGTTTAAAACTTCTCAATAGCTGCTATGGTGAATGAGGGAGCAGGAATTCTGAGCATGAATCTCCCGTATCATCATATAGGCATCTCCAACCCTCACCTACTCTATGATCTTTAAGTGACTCTTGCTTTTATTGTCTATGAAAGTTTGATACTATATTTTTCCTTCACCCTCTGGCTGTATCATTCATTATTTCCAGGCCTCATCTTTCCTGGTTTAATCCTACTTATATTAATTCCTACTCACATTTCTATGCAGGACATTCTTGAAGTCAAAACTCAAGTGTTACATTCTCATTTACACGCCTTGATTAACATTCCACATTTTCCTTATCTTTACAATCATCAGCAGTAGTGGAATCCTCTCCTGTCTCTCTTCTCTGGAGTGAAGAAAGCTCCTTCAAAGGAAGGAGAATCTCCATGTGCTGTGTGCACACAGCCTTGCACACAGCAAGTGCTCACTATAAAGGTATTAGAGAAGTGAATGAGTAAGTCGATGTGTATGTGTAACGGAGAGATGATGGATAGATGGAAGGAAGAAGAGTGGGCGGGAATAAATTAGGTGACTTTTTTCCAGCTAAGTTGGAGCCTCAGAATAGCTTTACTAGCCCCAACAAACTCTTTCTCCTATTTTCCACAGTGGCAACATCAAATCTTTTCTTTATCTTCAAGGAAACCTCCCCTCAATCCTCTATGACCTAGCAGTGTACTTGCCTCGTTGTTTAAGAAGGAAGTGGGAACTAGAGATAATTCAGCAGAAATCCCTTCAACTTCCGGTTCAGCATTTCCAATTAGAAACATCTGTATCCCCATTTACCTTCCTCTCTTTTCCCTCAGAATGTGAGTTGTACCCTCTCCCAGCTAAGGTCTGTGCCTTCATCTTTGTGCTGAGCCCCAAGCCCAGGGCCACCAGTTACCACCCTTGTCTCCATGTCCTTCCTCCCCCAGTGGCTTTGTTCTCTCTCTTTACTTTTCATGTCCCTACACTTTTCAAACAGGGTCTTGCTATGTTGTGTAGGGTGCCCTTGGGCTGGCTATGTAATCCAGAGAGGTCTCCATCTCATGATCTCCTTGCCTCAGCCTCCCAAGTGCTGGAATTACGGACAGGAACCACCACACCCAGGTCCTTCCATGCCCTTTACGTAATGCCCTATCATCTTCTTTCCCACTCATACTAAAATATCTTGAAAGAATAGTTTTTTCTGTTGTCTCTCTTTCATTATCTTCAGATTTCATTGCAATACCATCTATCTTTATTGCTTATCTCAAGAAATAGCACCCTGTGTATCACC